TTTAAATTAAAATTTATATTTGTTTATATTAATGAGATTTTAGATATTGTCACATCCCAGTCCCGGCTTCGTCGTAGCACGATATTGTTCGATTTGGGCCCCGGCCACGCCCTCACGGTTTTGTTTCTGGGAATTCACACGAGAACTTTCCAGTGGGTCACCCATCCTAGGAATTGCTCTCGCCCGAACTCGCTTAAATTCAAAGTTCCGATGGAATCTGAAGCCAATGAGTTCTCAAAAACCCTCGTGTTGTATGGTGGTGGGCATGTACATATAAAGTAGATCACTCCCTCATCGTTGGTCGATGTGGGATGTTCCAATCCATCCCTTTAGGGGCTCGACGTCCTCGTCAGCACACTCGCACCACACGGCAGAGTGGCTCTAATACCATTCTGTCACATCCCAATCCCAGCTTTGCCGCAACACAATATTGTCTGCTTTGGGCCCCGACCACGCCCTCACGGTTTTGTTTTTAGGAACTCACACAAGAACTTCCTAGTGGGTCATCCATCCTAAGACTTGCTCTCGTCCAAACTCACTTAACTTTGGAGTTCCGATGAAATCCGAAGCCAGTAAGTTCTCAAAATGTCTCGTACTATATGGAGATGGGCATGTATATATAAGGCGCATCACCTCCTCACCATTGGTCAATGTGGGATGTTACAAATAAAACACATAATTTGTAGGATTAAAAATAATAAAATATAAATTATACTCTCTATTATATTATGTGTGTGTGTGTGTGTGTGTGTGTGTGTACATATATATGGGTACATTCATCAAATTGTACCAAAACATGGATACATTATTCAAAACACACAAAAAATGAAGAAGATATTAGGCTTAATAATATTAGTAAATTTCTTCGATTAAACTTAACTTAGATACATTCTCAAATCAACGAAAAAAGAATGTACCCATATAAGTTTAAAAATAAATTTTAAAAAAAATTGAATGGATTTTATATTAAAAAATTGGGTAAATTTTATATAAAAAATGGACATTTTACATATAACAAACTGTTATATTTAAGAATGAGTACATTTAAGATTAAAAAAAATTGAAAATTATATGAATGGGTACATTTAAGATTAAAAGATTAAGAATCTTCTTATAATTCCCAAAAACTAATGGGTGCAAACTTATTATAATTTTTTTAACTACTTAAAAAACTTACTATAAAATACAATAGCCATAGTTTCTATGTATATATTGTCTATTAAAATATGTTTTATTGTATTATTATTCTATATAATTTTTTAAAATTTAAGCTTTATTTATTTTTATAGTATCCATTAGGCAACATGACACATTCCGATCCAGAATGTCTACTATGATCCCGAATTGAGCTGTGCTGGCTGACACCTAGAAGGTGACAAAGTCATAAAGTGTGATAGTGTATAAAATGTGAATAAATTAAAACCTAAAAGTGCTTAAGTACACAAGTGCGCGATGAGTGGGTCTGGACCCATTTCACGCGTGATATAGAGCATAGGTATAGTACAGTAAGGTAAGATAATGATTATGTCATCATAAGAAGACATATGTACTGAAAAGTGCCACGAATCCTCGTCAATACGGAACTCTACTACTAGAACCTGGAAGGGTGCAAAAATAGAAAATGTGAGTGAACGAAACAAAAACTTTTCAAACCAATTTCAATTACCAAAGGTAGTAACCCCTCGCCATAACACTTGTATAATTTTCCAGAAAATAACAGGCGTGACTATAACTCAAAACCATAACCAAAATAACAGTCTCACAGCTATGCCATCTAACCCAAGTGAAATAAATCAATATGAAATGGTATGTCAGCCGGATCCACCTATTGTGGCATGTACAGCTGAACCCATAGCTCATCAACATGCTAGCCAACAACTCATCAACATGCTAGCCGGGGTCACATCACGTGACCCGTACGGCTGAATTAATAACTCATCAACATTCTAGCTAATAGCTCATCAACATGCTAGCCAGAGTCACCTCACATGACATGTACGGCTGAATCAATAACTCATCAACATGTTAGTCAATAGCTCATCAACATGCTAGCCGGAGTCAGCTTACGTGACATGTACGGCTAAATCAATAACTCATCAACATGCTAGCTGGAGTCACCTCACGTGACCTATACGGCTGAATAAGTAGCTCATCAACATGCTAGCCGGAGTCACCTCACGTGACCCGCGTTCACCTTTGCACTTCAAAGCATTCACAATAATTATGTGCAGATAATATACATATGGATATGCCATGATGCAATCTAATACTCAACCATAACATAGTGTTTCCAAATATATATATATACAACATGGCGTGAAATGCATAATCTATAATGCCCCACTTCCAAACTATTTATTTTCGATAATAATTATCGGTGATAAGCCCAACTAGACACTAGTTTAATTAACTATCATTACTTATGTTTCCTTACTTTAATTTCTTGATTCTTCACACATTGATTTATGACCAACATTTAACCTTAAAATTAACGTTTATATAGTTGTTTCGCATATAGGTGAGACCTATTCTCAGGACGAGCGCAGTCAATCGAGGTTTGAGGGCTACGACCCTTTCATATATCAGTGAGGAGGCTTTTAGTTTTTCGTATATACCTATATACTCGAGATTTTTCCTAGAAAATGTGTTTAAATGAATTTTTTTTTTAAATGCCATGCCTATTTATTTATGCTTAGACTATGAATTTGTATGATATGTGCATATTGTGATTTAACGCGATGGACACTCAGGTAAGTACCAAGTGAGTTGTAGATTGTTTATATGAATTGATGATTATGTGAGATGTGTTGAGAGCTCATAAACTTGCACCCCAGTGTTAGTGCTCCCGCCCGTGGTTAGGGCACAGTCCTTCACGTGATATTCACCTCCCGCACCATTGGATCCAAGTTAGGTGCACAGTCCTATCGTACAGACCATTATAGGTGGTTTCGACTCATAGATGACCCGCGATTATTCGCACAATCTTCACGTGATCGAAGCACTTGAGCGTATTTATTTACATCCAGTCCTGTCGTACAGACCGTTTTAGGTGGTTCCGACTAATGTGCAGGTCACATTAGGTGACTCCGGCTAGATGGATGAGCTCTAGATTTAACCGTACAAGTCATGTTAGGTGACTCCGGCTGACTTATCATTTGCATTTATTTATATCGCCCGGCTTACACATTTTATTGTTGAGATATTCGGCATGGCATATTTGTGAATTTTGCTATTCTGAGCATGGTTGTGGTATAAATATGTATTATATTTTCTAGGAAATTATACAGGTTTTACGGTGAGGGGTTACAATCTTTGATAAATGAAATGGTTTTAAAAAGCTTTGTTTTTGCCCACTCACACTTGCTGTTTTGCGCCCCTCCAGGTTCTAGTTAGGAGTGTTTTTTGATGGCTTGCGAGGAATCCACGGCAGCTCTGACAGGTTATCACCATTGTAGGTTTACCTTTGGTGTTATATAATTAGTAATCGTCCTGCTGGACTGCACTTAGGCTACTTATGCTCTAGTTGTGAATTCATACTTATTTCCTCTTGCACCTTATCTTACCCAATGCTCTAGTTAGTTGGGTTTTTATTTATTCACATTTCTTATATTAATATTTCCATCTCTACCTAGTATAAGACCTTTTGGGAGCTCACTAGCTTCAGGTTCCGTAGGAACTCCGAAGTTAAGCGAGAGCATTCCCAGGATAGGTGACCTATTGGGAAATTCTCATGTGAGTTCCTAGAAACAAAACCGTGAAGGCATTGTTAAGGCCCAAAGCGGACAATATCGTGCTACGGTGGAGTCGAGCACGAGATGTGGTGGGGGCCAGGGCCAGGATGTGACAATTTAGTATCAAAGCCAATCTCTGGTCGGAAGTGTGCCGACGAGGACGTCGGGCCCCTAAGGGGGATGGATTGTAACATCCCACATCGCCCAAGGGAGTGGATCATGTAAACATTATATGTATATTTCCATCTCTACCTAGCACGAGACCTCTTGGAAGCTCACTGGCTTCAAGTTCCGTAGGAACTCTGAAGTTAAGTGAGTTCGGGCGAGAGCATTTCTAAGATGAGTGACCCACTGAGAAGTTCTCATGTGAGTTCCCAGAAACAAAATTGTGAGGGCATGGTTGGGGCCCAAAGCGAACAATATCTTGCTACAGTGGAGTCGAGCCTGAAATGTGGTGGGGCCCAAGTCGAGATGTGACACAACAAGTGAGATTAAAAAATTATAAAACACATTAAAAATAAAAATATCAAGTAATTTGAAAATACCAAACACATTAAAAAAAATATAATAATTAATTTACAAGTGCGAAAAATATGAAATAATATTAATATGCAAACGCTCGTGATCGCATCCTCTACGTTGTGAGGATGGGTACATCATCATTTGAATTTTTAAAACCATACAAACCCACATGTATGGTATTTTTAAGGGAGTTCAAAATAAATCAATATCATTTCCCTTAGTGGTTGAAGAAAATTGAAGGGTTTTATTGTAAAAAAAACGTGTAAGGTTTCGTTAATCTTGAAACGCAACTCATTTCATTTTGCATATTCTTGAACCTTAGTATTTTGTAGTAATATACTAATGTTTTCTTATTAGACTCTTATATTGGGGTACCTAATACTTAAAAGACAATTGTTGTTTTTATGTTTTGAAATAATATTTATGTCATAACGTGGTATACATATACAAATTTAGTATTATGTTTTCTATTTTCATTATTTATTGATTTAAAATATATTTTTTTAACCGGTAACGGGTCCGGTCATATTACCGGTTTATTTTAATAGATCTTACACGACACTATCCGTTAAAATATCAGATATATCACAAAAACAACACGAACACAAAAAAAACACGACACGAAATGCCATTGCCAGGTCTACTAAAAATAGAAGGCCTGATAAAAAAAAAAAAAAAAAACAATAATAAAGATCCGACGGTTGCAAATACTCCAAATATCATAGAATGTTTGAAAATCTTGACCACGTTAATAAGCGTAATTTATATTTTTCTAGTCGAAAAGTAAATAATTTGTTAGAAATTTGCCGACGGCGCTCACTAAGTTGCGCGCCCTTCTGCCGTGCTTCGAATCCAAATCACAATGATATCGATACCTGTCCCAATCTCCTCTCCCAGCTCCAGGTAACTTTCCAATCCCAAAACCCTAATTTTTTTCCCCCAAATTTGAGTTCCTCAGCTGCTCCTGCACTTGAATTATTCTCTTATTCCTTCGTTTCTCTGATTAATGCTAAAGTATGATTCTTTTGGATTGCCGCAATGTTGGTAGGGTTTTGAGTCAATCAGAGTGATGCATTTTTCGTTTTGAATTGTTTAAATTTTTTGTGTTATGAATTTGATTTGTCATATTTTGGGAATGTTAACTATTAGGGTTTTGATGATGGAAATAATTGGCAAAACAGGTTCCGGGTATCATCGATTCTTTGTTAGTGTATGATATTGCTCGTTTCGTCTTTCGTTTGGGTGTTCGAGAGGGTTCCTTTGGCTGTACATTTTGATGGATAAGGAGGAGAATGCTACTAGTGATGGTGATCATGAGGAGGCTTCTCAGTATGAACTAGCTGTGTGTCCCGAAGAAGACATGGAAGAAGATGTCGAGGATGAGGAAGAGGATGACGAAGATGAGGAGGTGGAGGAGGACAATGAGGATGAGGAAGAGAATGTCTTGAGTTTTATAGATGGGATTAATCCTTTGGATCTTGTGGAAGATGATGGTGGTGACCAACTTTATCAGCGACTTCTGGGGGCGGATTATGAGGCTTTAGCTGAGAGAAAGAGAAAAGCACTTGTGGACAGCCGGCCCGAAGGTTCGGTTAAGAAGGCCAGGCGGGAGGATCTTACTGGAGCAAGCATGGAGGAAATAATGGAGGCCATGAATTATGGTATGCAAAGGAGATCAAGGAAGTCTAAGAAAAGGGGTAGGCGAAAAGGATCAACGAAGAAGCTAACCCCCGAGATTAATAGAATGCTTGGTGAAGCTAATCTTCACTATGCATTTGGCCGTTTTGAAGAGGCCATACCAATCTTGACAGAAGTTGTAAAGAAAGCACCAGATTTGCCTGACTCGTATCATACACTTGGAATTATCCATGACAATCTTGGTAATGAGTTGGATGCCTTGAATTGCTACAGAATTGCTGCATTTTTAGCACCAAGAGATCCAGCTCTTTGGGAACTGCTTTTTGACCGGTTCAATAAACGAGGCAACAGTCATGATGCGATTTATTGCCTTTCAAGAGCAATATCAGCAGATCCTAAAAATGTTAGTCTGAAATTTGATCGTGCTTCACTTTATGTTAAGCTTGGAGATTATCAGAAAGCGGCAGCATCTTATGAACAGATAGTACAAGCCTATCCTGATAATGTTGAAGCACTCAAGACGGGAGCAATGACGTATGAAAGATGTGGTCAGCAAGAGCGTTCTATACAGATTCTAGAGGACTATCTCAGAAATCATCCAACTGAAGCTGATCTTAGTGTCATTGATCTGCTGGCTTCCATACTTATGGAAAATAACTCACATAAGGAAGCCCTTCAGCATATTGAGCATGCACAACTGGTATTCTGTTCAGAAAAAGAGATGCCTCTGGCAATGACAACTAAAGCAGGAATATGCCATGCTTACCTCGGAAATATGGAGAAGGCAGAAAGTATTTTTAGTGCTCTTGATGAGAAGAGTGCAGATAATGCTGACTTGATTGCTAAAGTTGCAGAGTCATATATGAGTCTTGGGCATCATAGTTCTGCGTTGAAGTATTATTTGATGTTGAAAGGAAATGTCGAATTTAATAATGGCTTTATAATTATGAAAATCGCTCAATGTCATTTGTCATTGAATGACAGAGTACAGGCAATTTTGTGCTTCTACGAAGCTTTAAAGACATTTGAAGATGATATTGAGGCTCGATTAACACTGGCTTCTATTCTTGTTGAAGAAGCCAGAGAAGATGAAGCCATTTTGTTGCTATCTCCTCCGAAAATTCTACATCGTATGGACCCCCAAACGGATAAATCAGAACCATGGTGGTGCAATGGGAAGGTGAAACTGAAGCTTTGCGACATCTACCGAGCTAAGGGGATGACCAAGGAATTTGTAGATACAATCTATCATCTGGTACACGAGTCACTGAGCATTGAATCACTTCAGCAAAAGGTGAAAGTGAAAAGGAGGCTCACAAAAACTGTCCTGTTAGAAAGAGTCAAAGTCCTGGAGGATCACCAAAAAGAGAACCTATTGTGCAGATCTAGACCAGTAGCTCCTGCTTCAGATCTGCTTAAAGCTGCAAGAGCGAAGAAGTTGCTTCAGAAGAAGGCAAAAGTAAAGGAAGATAAGAGAGCTGAGGCCATGGCTTCTGGAGTTGACTGGCAAAGTGATGATTCAGATGATGATCCTCCGGAAGAAATACATAAAGAACCTCCCCTGCCAGATCTTCTCAAGGATAAAGAGTATAACGACCTCATAATAGATTTGTGTAAGTCACTGGCCTCCTTGCAAAGATATTGCGAAGCATTGGAGATAATAAATCTTTTCTTGAAGGCGACTCGCAACATGTCTTCTGTTGCGGAAGAACTCAGGTCTCTTGGAGCTCAAATTGCATACAACACACCTGATCCTGAGCATGGGGTTAACTGTGTAAAATACATTGCAGACCAGCATCCATATAGCAATGCTGCCTGGAATTGCTATTACAAAGTAATTACCAGATTAGATGACTGGTATGCGAGGCATTACAAGTTTCTACGCAATAAGAGAGACAAACTCAAAGACTGTGCACCTCCCAGTCTCATTTCTGGGCATCATTTTACTAAAAAAAGCCGTCATCAAGATGCCGTGAGAGAATACCTAGAAGCTTATAAATTATTGCCAGAGAATCCCCTTATTAATCTCTGTGTTGGTACTGCCTTAGTCAACTTAGCCCTTGGACATAGACTTCAGAATAGGCACCAGTGTGTTGCACAAGGCTTAGCATTCCTCCACAACAACTTGCAGCTTTGTGAATTCAGCCAGGAGGCATTTTACAACATAGCCAGGGCGTACCATCAAGTCGGCCTTGTGACTCTGGCAGCTTGGCATTATGACAAAGTTCTTGCAATGCAAGTGAAGGATTACCCCATGCCAAAGCTTCCCCATGAAAAGCCAGAGTCTGCTGAAAATAAAAAATCGGGTTACTGTGACCTTCGCAGAGAAGCAGCTTTTAATTTGCATCTCATCTACAAAAAAAGTGGAGCGGTTGATCTTGCTCGAACCATCTTAAGAGATCACTGCACTTTCTGAGTATGCAACTCTACATTAAAACATTAGAATTCGGTTGCTTTTTGTTCTTGGTCTTAAGTATGTGAAATAATAACAGTAAAATTCCTTTGCTTGTTGCAGGAATTATGTTCCTGATCTCAGGTATTGCGACTGTTTGAATGAGAGGGTGGCTTCCTACTCCCTAGTTGATCTCTTCAGTTCTCTCGAAAAGGCCTATTAACGGTTTTCCGTGGTCTAATCTGCTGAGAAATGGGAGGGAAACACTAAAAGAAAGGTATGTGATCCACTCAGCAATTTGTACATGACATTACTGCAAAGCCAGTGTTAAATCCCTTATTTCATGTCCAAAACAAGGGCCAACCTGATATTTATTTCATTACTTCACAGTCCATCTCTCTGTCTCCGCCTCAAATATATAATATCCTCACACAAGGGGTTTCAATAGATTAGAGACCAGATTCGAAACGTTACTTTCAAACGTTTTGTATCAATAAAAAACGATGGAAGTTGAGAACTTGCAAGTGAATTATATGAAATTTGATTTAATATGATATAGATTGATGGTATTGTTCCAAAATTACTTTTTATCTTGGCTAGGTTATGATTTTAGTTCATGTAATTTGAGTGAAGTTTTACTTTGGTTCTTATGGTTTGAGGCTTGAGCTGTCGCGCGATTTGACTCAGTTTACTAAGTGTAACAATTCAAGGACAATGACCTACTTTTGTCAATCTATTCTATCTATTTAGCTCGTGAGTGACATGTGTCCTTCGCATTGATACTTAAGAAGGAAAGTGCAGGTTGATATTCCTATACTACCCTTGTTGGTCCCGAGGATTGAGCTCGTGAGTGACATGTGTCCTTCGCATTGATACTTAAGAAGGAAAGTGCAGGTTAATATTCCTATACTACCCTTGTTGGTCCCGAGGGATGGAGGAGGTTAGGTTAGCCTAAAGATGGTTATTGGTTCAACTGTTCAAGGACGCGGGTTGCCCCTGAATTCTCAGAGTAAGAAGAGGTAGAGAAAATGTCTTGAGCCAATGTTCGAGTACCTGGCGCCACAGCCAAAAATACAAAGTACCGTAATCATTCTTTGGCCTATTTGTTTTCTTTTTCCGCTAGGTCAGATGCCACTATTACTCGTGGTGAAAAACTACATTTGTGTAAATTGTCATACAACGCCCCCCACATTTATGTAATTTGATGATCTTTTTCGCTTTGACTTTGGCTCTTTTATTTCCCATTTACCCATACTTCAGACAGATTCTTGCAGTCAAGAGACATCCCGTAACAATTATCTAACAAACAATAGTTTGTTATATGAAAGGGAAGTGTTATTGGCACTTCAAAAATCTCATTATACACTCTTCAAAAGTGTATTTTTCTTCCTAACTATAGAAAGTTTGGAGTGTATGGAGTGCCAATAACAATTCTCATATGAAATTAAAACAATCATTTATATCATCGATAGTGTTGTTGAGACAATATATTAATTGCAAAAGAGTCTCTTCATATTTTCCCGTACTTTTGACCTTTTGTTCTTTGTCTATTTTGTACCTAATGGGACCCTCAACACTCAAGGTCTAGAAATTCGAACCACTCAAATTGAATTAGACGTCCTCATTGATTCATTTCGCTGGTTCATCACACAAGTTAAGGGCTTCAAATTTTCTTTCAAACAAAACCAACTGCTTGGATTTTCTGATTCTTAAGCTTTGAACACTAAGGTTCGGAGGGGATCCAAATTCAACTGCCAAGTCCTAAGCAAATTAGATTGATGCCGCGTGTATATCTAAATTGCATGATACCCGGCTGAAGGTTGGGTCGACATAAATAAATGGATGGAACACCAACTTTGTGGGCCCATGAAATTATGAGAAGCCCACATTTAACCTACCTTTGTGGAATCTCATAATTGGATCCTTGATTTTAGCGACAAAATGAAGCTTCTAGTACTCATGTGCTTTCAAACCCAAATTTAGAAAGGGTAGTGTTACCTACACGTCATTTTTTATATTATGTACATCTTCTAATTTTCAAATTTTAGATACTAATTAAAGATGATCAAATAACAAAAATTAAGAAACGGTGTGTGGAAAGTAAAAAGAAATGTGTGAATAGTAGCACCTTTTAAGAAAATAATCTACATAAAAACTAGTTCATCGCTATTGTGGTGTTTCAATTCAATATACAATATTATGTATTGTTCTGCTATACTAATTTTCTCTCTTTTCCAAAATAGATCTAAAAACTCCATAGCCATCGGCGCTTACTGTGACTTGGGGCGGTGACACCCCCTTTTGCTAGCCTTCCTCCTTCCTTTTTTTTATTGATTGTTGCAATTTTTTTTTCGTTTTAGTATTTCTGTCTATAAGTGCCTCCTTGTTGAGGTTATTAGTGACTATCTCCTAATAGTTATTTTAATTTTGTATTCATGTGATATGAGCTTATATTGGGTCTACTTCACTGTTTCTGGTGATTTTGCTAATGGTGTTGATCACAAAATTCATATTGGTATGGACACTAATTGGTTCTTTTCCAGTTCCTCTTTGGAGTCGGAGCTACTCATTGTCAAAGAGTGTTCTCATATTTGTTATATAGCAATTTTTTCACACAAAATTTCTTTAAGTGCCAAATCGTGAAGTGTTTGACCCTTTTCACCTAGAATGGAGTTAATTTGGATTTGGAGTGTCATCTCAATTTTTTGAGTTTGGGTGTGGATGAATTCAAGATTTGGATGCTTCTTGCCCTCAAATCCACCAATATGGTGGCAAATAGTTTGGCCAAGTTGACGTTTTATGTTTTGTTGAAATCTCTTTGGATTTAAGAGATTATATCCAGAATATTATTGTTGTCTAAAAAAATATACAATATTATGTGTAAGGTTTTTTTTTATTTGTTCATTTTAAATCGGAAAAACATGCAGCAATAAACTCTTTTCATATAAAATATTTTCGAAATTGAGCCAATAAGATCAGATCATCTTGCTCTAAATTAGTGTAATAATTTTGAACTCTTTCCCTACCCTATAATAGTATTAAAAAAAAAAAAAAAAACTATACCATCTCGCTCAATCTCTTCAGGTTTGCCTAAAGTGTAGGTCCTGATTTCATGTGCTTATTAAGTTTATGGTTCCTCAGAATTGGAGCACGTATGGTTTTTACTCTCAACCAAAATGTTGTGTACAACAAACAAAAAGACAGTATGTTGTGAGGTGTAGATCACTAACCAAAAGAAATTTGTGACATGATAGTGGACAGTCGCCTACCATGTCAATGTCACGATCGAGGAGAAAAGTAAAGATCATACTTCGTTGTCGATCGTTTGGATCTTTTCGATCAGGAGGTGGATTATTTGCCTTTTCATTGTCATACTTTTTTTATGTTCTTTTATGATGTGTGATCAGGATTAAATCACGTTAATATTTTATATTAATTTTTTATAGAAATAATAAAACAAAAAGTAATAGAAATATAAAATATTGACGTGATTTAACCGTGACCACATAAACATGAGGATATGAGAAGAGTATGAAAATAAGAGGGCAAAGAATTCACCTCCTTTCGATTACACCCCAAAAATTTGGATATTTTTTATTATACAAGCGACATAGGAGCAGGAGAGATGGAACAAGAATTACGTGTGCACGAGCAAATAGCTCTTAACTACTCAAACTATTCTTGTCCTGCTTCATTTAGTCTAGGACATAATATGGCACCCCACTAAACATTGCACTATTTTTGACCTACTTAGTCCAAGTAGTCAAGTCAATTCAGCTTAGTTATGAATCTAGTCTAGTTTGAGATAGTTCGGTACAACAAACGCACCTTAAGTAGTTACAGTTAACTTGTTTATATTAAAGTATTACTTCTTACTAAAAATTGTATCACTGTAGTTGGGGAAATGGATCTCCAAATGTTATATATTTTGGACTTGTAGTTGCTCTAAACAAACTTATGGTGTAAATGGGTAGAGCTTCAAGCTACTGATTTAAGCAAATGGCTCGTTTTCACGATGGATAACAAATCCACCCTTGTCACCCTTAAATTTTCTTTTATATTTGTATTAAGAGATAATTAGACCAATGATCTCTAATCTTTAGCGGAATGCAGCTTTGGTCTCTAAACTAAAATATCGCTAGCATTAGTCCATAAACTTGTTATAATGTGGAGCAATGTTCCTTTAGCTAAAGTCATTAGAATTTTCATTTGTTTTTTTCTTAGGAATGGTATTTAATCTAAAAAAAATCCTTTTACTAATTAATCACCTTATAAATTCAATTCGGTACAGGCGATACATATAAGACTATGGATCAGAAAATATCCAGAAAGACAAACCCTCTAGTTATATATTTATAAATTATAATAACCGTAGAGAATTGTTATTGGCACTTCAAAAATCTCATTTTACACTCCAAACTTTTTATATTTAGAAAAAAATATACTTGTAAGGAGTGTAAAATGAGATTTTTGGAATACCAATAACACTTCCCTAACCGTAGAGTTAATGCAAAAATGCAACTTCAAACATCGATAATCCCTTTTGTTTCCTCACATTTTGTTTGTACTAAGAATATGCACAACACCAAAGGCCACATGCAAGGGACAATACTTGCCTAGACTTAAAAGTTATCGTTTCGGTACTGCTGCATGGGAACTAGTTTATTGGACCGTCTAAGATCTTGCCAAAGAAAGCCGAAAGTTATGCATGTGCATGCAGACATGGATTTACAACACTGAGGAGGTCACTTCCAAATTATTCAAATTAATTTAACCCCCCATGATTAGTTTATACTTGATCAAGTACTCTATGCATTGTCATTAGACATAACTAATTATTGTCTATTTAATTAGAAAAACGTTTCCAGTTTTCACTCTTATTTTCCAGTCAAGTATATTATACGTCTAACTTGTTCATCAAATCGACCATAAATATTCGTGCCTTTAGAGTTTTTGTTTTACAACTCATCTCATGTCTTTTTTTAATCGATGGTTGAGAATAGTGGTAGAGTTAGAATTTTAGCTTGAAAATGGTCAAAAAGTCTCAATCCGAAACGCTTTTATGATCTTACAAAAATTATTATGCTGTGTGGTGAGCAACCGACTTCCATTGTTTGGGTCAGACATAGTATTGTCCTCATAATCCTTTTCCTTACACTTAAACCTCAACCCCGAACCTCCGTAACTTTCTAGTTTCTTCCTCTCTCCCTCCACTGATCCTCATATCAGAGGCTTCCTCAAAATTTACAAGTAAACGGATTGCTTGAACTCTATAGGAGCCACCAACCTCAAATCAAACCCCATGAAATAAATTAAAGTAAAAACGTCAGATTGAGAACCTAAGCATACAGAAAAACCTTAAAAATCATAAGCATACAACTAAATTTTCTGAGTAAAAAAATATTAAGATGGGCCTGGAACCATCTGGTCGCTTCATGGCTTTGCCTCTGGTTAAGAAGGGGTTGAACGCTTGAATTGTAAGCTCTTTTGTGTCCTTATGTTGAAAGTAGAGATATAATCGAATTACGGAGTCATGTGTTCAGCACAAAGAGATGTAACCAAATTAAGAACTAATTAATGTTACATATTATACTAGAAACATTATACTTATAGGACATGCAAAATTATGTCTTCGTACAATCATTTACTTTCGATGTCTGGCAAACTTAAGACAGAGGGCTTGAATCTATAAATTCCTTGTGACAAAGTAACGCCGTGAAGGCGTTCAAAAAAAAAAAAAAAAAAAAAAAAGTAACGCCGTGAAAATAACAGAATTAATGACGACGATTGACTTGCCAATATTTCACGGCAAGTCAGAGATGTTTCTGCATGCTTTGTCATGATTGATGCCTCCATTTTTATTCGTCAATGAGAAAAACCAAAGCCAAAGCCATGCCTATTGACTGTTACTGATGAGCCTAACATCATTTGACTCTAAATTTGTAAAATCTTGAGGCAGAATATAATACTATATAAATACATATATTTTTTTAGCGAGTTTTGAACATTAAGCGTTAAAAAAGATTGAAATTTAAAACAAAGCTAATGTTGGATTACATATTGATTTTAATCCTTTGAACTGTACTTTAATTAAAATTAATATTCTACTTTTGTTATTTAATGTGTATTTTATTTTATTTTCTTTTTCACATTAAAATTTTGATTTTATTAATATGCATATTTTAGTTCTTCCAATTATAAATAAACCTAGATGAGAAAACATTAAATGAAATTAGTGACACATAAGAAAAACATATAAATACATAAGTGTACAAAAATGATTGTACCAAAATATATAAATTAAGAATTCAAAAAAAATATATAAATTAACTTTTTTTTTACCGAAATGTTTGTACTATTAGAATGAATTAGTATATCTAAATGTTTGTATCAAAATATCTGTATTGAATTATATTTTAATGAGTTTCTATACTTGTATGTGTATAAAAATGACTGTACCAATAATTAATAATTAAAAAATATATATATATATATAAATTAACTTTTTTTTACCAAAATGTTTGTATCAAAATATATCATAATGAATTAGTATACTTAAATGTTTGTATCATAATGTCTGTGCTAAATTATATTATAATGAGTTTGTATACTAAAATATATGTACGGAAATGTATTATAATAAATTAGTGTAGACTTAAAGAAATCATGAAATTATAAAATTATAAAAAAAAGACATGGAATTTAAATGCTGGCATTTAAATAGAATTATGAGACCAATATTTGAGTCTTGCATGAGAAATTATCTAAACTTCATCTTATTTAAAGATTAAAATCAAGTTTTCTTTATTTTATATGTTATACTGCATTTGTTATCTATGAAAATCGAGTTTAAAACCCCACAAATAAAGTAAAATATCAGTATATACGTTAATTGATCTCCAATTGAAACCCTATAGATTAGAAAAATCAATTCACTCAACTATATATGAGCATAAATCTTAACTGCGAGTCCGTGGTGGATATCGATCGTCGTCAATTTAATTATGAATACTGCTTTGTGTCATATCATTCGTTTTGTTCTCAAGCCAAGTTGTCAACATATTTCTACACGTTGTGATGGTGGGTTGCATTGCTTTAATGGATTATTATTCTATTTTTAGTCCCTATCATGCATAAATATAGAAAATAAAAGAATTAAATACATAAGTTCGAGCACAACGATATTTTTACTGCACATTACGAAGTATTTTTAGTATGATGAAAATGTTTTAAATTTGAAAGCAATCCTTAGTAAAAATATAAATGAATCTTGAAAAAAAAATACTTATAGTTATTTATGAAAGAAGTACATAATTGGTGGTTTTTGCATGAAGCACCTCCAGTGTCTTTGAAACCCAAAAACACTTTTGGTTCAATCATTTTAAAAACAATTTCAAACGAGTCATTTTATCATTTAATTAATTAAGTCATGAAACGTACAACAACTCTAGAGTTTTCATTCATCAATTCATGTCACTGTTTGGGGAATCATTTTCAAGTGTCCAGTATTTAAGCAGGTATTTTACATGTTATAAAATAAAAAGAGACACATAAAAATATATATTTGTATTATGATATGTGAAATAATGAATACTGGGTACTTGAAAAAAATCTATCAACCGTTTGGGGATTAAATTAGGAATAGTCTTTAAAAATAATTAATGTCAGATACAACAGTTTGATGGCTACTATAATGTTAATTTTTTCCATACGAAAGTTAATTAAAGTTGTCTAATCAAAGTTTGATAATGCTTAGCTCCTGATCACTTGCCATTAATTGATGACAAAAAGGGAAAATGAACCTCATTGAATCCTTTTTCAAGGGATTCCGAGGATCTCGTGATTGAGATTGTTCATTATATATCGTAAGGTTAGAAATTATTTTAAAATTAAATTTAAATATAAATTATACTTAACGAAAACGGACCATATGACGTAATAAACGATCATAATCACGAAATCCTCCAATCCCTAGAAAAAAGATCCGGTGAGGATCCTTTTCCGATGAAAAGGGATGCAACCCGACGTCATTTCATAACACTAATGACTTGATCGTGTATTCTTTTTTAAACAAACAAGGTTAGAGCATTCACTTAGGCTCAGTTTGTTATTGTTTTTTTTTCCACCAAAAATTACTTCATTTTAAAGTTAAATAGTAAAAAAAATATTTGATAAAAATAAAATATACTACCTTTTTTTTTTTAAAGCAATGACCTTCATATATCCGTTTTAAAAAACAACTTATAAGTTGTTTTTAAAAACTATTTTAATAAAAAACGGAGTTGAGCCTTTAGAATAGTTTTAATTCCTGTAATAAGCTCATTAATTTTAAACAATGACATTATTTATCCTTCCAGACACTGTTTTTACATTACTTTCATATTCACAACACTTTTAACCATACAGTTTATCAAACGCTCAACTGCTTTATTTTGCAGCTGATTATTCTTAAAGCACATCATAAACAATTTATTAAAAAAGCGCATCAATCCCAAATTGGCCCTTAGTATACAGTCTAGTGGTATTCTTTTTTACTTGCAAATGAGAGAGGTCTTAAGTTCAATTCTCGCTAAAGACGAGTTTGAACCATATTATTGTTAATCCATTATGAGGCTAAGTCCACCCCCATTCTTGTCCCTCAGTATAGATAATATCGTTTGATAAAAATAAAAAAAATAAAAAAAAGCCAAGATTGGAGCAAAGAAATCAGATGTAAATATTTTAACTATTTTACTAAAAATATTTTTTTTATACACCAAAAAAGTTAACAAAATCTCAACAGTAAAAGTAAAAGAAGAAACTTACCATGATGGACGGGTAAGAAGAACTGCGGGCACAAAAACAGAGCTACAGTGACTGACCCATGGGCTGGGCCCATAAGTAGCCCATAGCGTAAGCCCATCACAAAACAAAAGCGAGGGAACACTCACAATTTGTCGGTGCCATTAGCGAAAAGCCAAGGCCAAATCCTTAATTAACCCTTAATCCGAGGTCCCCAAACTATTAGTTAACTAACTAATATTATTCATATCATGTTTTTATACCATATTCTTATACCACCTTAGGTCCTTAGGTGGCATCTGATGTGGACAACTACATCATTTGAAAAAATTGTAAAACTCAAGGAAATGAAGGAATAAGACTTCTCCTCGTATACCACCATTATTATTTAATTAACAAGTTTTTCTTAATTATTAGCTTATTAAATACTGAAATAAATTTAAAAATTTTATTAATTCAAATGATGCGGATGTTCATATCAAATGCTGCCTACGATGATATGAAAATGTGATAAAAAACATTGTATGAATATGATTACTCCAAAATAATACCCTATAAAATTCATTCTCTTTCCCGCGGCTTTCAACGCGGTTCTGCTTTTGGCTTTTCCTCTCTCTCTCTCTCTCTCTCTCTCTCTCTCTCTCTCTCTAAATTTTGTGATCTGATTATTGAGTCGACTCTCTCTCTCTCTCTCTCTGGCTTTCGTTCCACAAATAGAGCCCTCCTCCTCCTCCTCCCAATTCCGAACATCGAATCCCACTCACATTTAGAATTTTTGATCTCCCGTCAGATCTCGCCGGAGCTCCAGTGATCTCGGGGCAGCTGCTCTTCGCTCTCTAGCCGGCCGATCATCGCCGTCGCATTGATATGAAGCTGCTGCGGAGGCGGAGTTGCTGTTGTGGGGGAAGATGAAGTTTTATATATCCACGACGGGGATAAAGAGGCTGACGATATCCAGCGCCGGCGCCGGGAAGGGATCTCCTTCGACGGCGGCGACTCGGAGGATTTCCGGCCGGACGGTCTTGCCGTTGTTGCTGGTGCTCGCGTTAGTTTTGCCCTTCCTTTTCGTTAGAATTGCGTTCATTGTCCTTGAATCTACCACTGCTTGCTCTTCCACGCTCGGTAACTCTCTCTCTCTCTCTAGCTTTTTTATTTTATTTATTTTAGTTTCTTAAAGTATTTAGGTAAAAATTATAAATTAATTGAAATATTTTAGAATTATCTGAAGAGGATTTTCGGGTTGCTGTGACGTGGTTGTACGTTTGGATTTGGTCGCTGCGTGCGTAATCGCAATTATGTAATAATCTGGCTGTCGGCTGTTGTACCTTATAAACTCTGATTTCTGAAGCGGATTTTCTTGCAAGTTTTGTTGTTTCTGAATACTAATGCTTTGAATGTACCTTGAATTCTGCTCTGCTGAAAATTCAGATTTATTACTTACTATTTTTATTTTTTTGGTTTTTTGTGTTTGGCTTTGGCAAATGCTGCAGACTGCGTAGGTTGGAGGTTTTTCAGCGGGAGTGACGAATCATTAGTAAGTGCTCCCCCACTACACTACTTTATTGACAATATTACCATTTCAATTTTACACATATATATATATATATATAAACAAATTATTTTGCACAAAATAGAAAAACTAAAAGATTTTTGTTTTGAAAGTGTTTTTAAAATAATTGAATTTTGGATGAACCATTATATGTTTCTTGTAGAAAGCATTTTAGGATTAACTCATTTTTTTAATAAGGGGTTTCAAAAATATTTTCATAAAAAACGTTTTCAGTTATTTATTTCTTCTGAAAAAACGATTGTATCTACATTAAGGGGGTCAGGGAGTGGGCTAAGTCTTACAATGAACTTACCATAATAATGTGGGTTAACTTCGCCTATGGCGAAAATCAAACATAAGATCTCACACTTTTAAGTAAACTCATTTTAAAATCACTTCTAAATACACTTATTATAATTAATGTGATAAACTATGACAAACATAAGTTAAACCAGTTGATTAGAATTGTGTGTCTGCTCATTATTTGGCGCACTCGTTTGAGGCGCATAATAGACCATATTTGACTATTGAACTTTATTAAGGCTAAATTTAGAAGAATATTTTAATTTTGATAAGAATATTTCTATACTTAGCTTGATTTTTCGTAATTGATAAATGGTATTTCTGGTAAATGATGTAGTTGGTGATGGCAATTTGGTACTAGGAAAATAGAGAGCACAGTCAGTGGATAAGCACATTTGAGGGAGTGTCGGTATTTGCCTTCACTCCCCGTCAGTTGCTTTTGTAGACGCGTGGCCAGTTGGTATTGCACTCATAGTATTCTCGTCAACTTGATCTTTAGAAATATTAAAATAAAAGCCAACAAGACATACAATAATTTGCCCAAAACGTCTATTTCGGGGGGAAGAGATCCTCTCCGGATCTCTCTCATCAAATCCATTAAATTCATTAATCCGAATTTTTGAAATTTGATCCAATAGCTATAAACAGAAGACTCTTATACAAATTATAATAATTATATCCGTTGAATCAAATTTTAATGGTCTAGATTAATGGATTGGGTCGCTTTGATGGGAAAGATCCGGAGAGGATCTCTTCCCTATTTCCAGAACCAGAACTGTGACTGCTTCCACTACGTCCATAAAACGTAATTGTCAGCCAAAGAAACATTCATTTAGCTTGAGTGGAACCAACTGGCATTACCATCTTTGTTTTTAGCCTTTTCATTTTCACATCAACACGGTTTGGTGCGATCAGACGGTTGTCATGTTACAGACGTGGATTAGGTTACTTGGCTAGGCTATTATGTCGGATTTTGAACCCACGTCCTTATAATTAGAGTAGAATAATCGTCTTTTCCGAAAGAAATAAAAAACGGTTATCATCAATGGCAGAGTCAACATAGGATCATTGGTTGCTCATAATCCCAATGTATATTTATCTGTATATTTGTATATGACTAACTGCTCATAACCCCAATGTATACGCAAATTGCGGCAAACTGAATAAAAAAAGAGTCAAAACGATGAATTACAAACTGCTTCTTTTGTACAACCCCCCGTATGGTTATTGTAAATTTTCTTCTTTCTTTCCTTTGTCGTTCTTATCTTATTTCTTGTGTGTGACCTTATGATGCGCAACAAGTGTTCGGTAAAAAGCCTCACTCGATAGTCATAAGCAAAAATTGACAAAACTCGGCATAAGTTGGCAGATACGCACCAGAAGCTCAACGAAATGATCCAATGAAGTTTTTTTTGGCCAATATTGTGACACCATTGTTATTAAACTCTGGCTCCGTCAATGGTTATCGTGCTCATTTAATCATCTAATAGGTATTGTTTTGATGTGGTTTAATGCTAATGAAGCTCAGAGAGGAGTTGACAAGAGCACTGCTGGAAGCAAAGGATGGTAACGTAAACAATAACGAGCAAGGGATCGAGTCGTTTAACCAGCTGGTCCAGGAGATGACGTTGAAGCAACAAGATGTCAAAGCATTCGCTTTCAAAACAAAGGCCATGGTAAAAACTCACTCGTTTTTAACTTTTTACTGGACTCACTCAATAGCTAGCGGTTAGTTTTGTTTCCGTTTCCTTTATTACTTTTGTGTGTTTTCTGGTAGGGTGATGCAATGTCTATTGTCTAGTCCACAATTTCGGGTTGGTAAATTGATCCAAAACCCTAACTTCCACCTACCCCTTTGGGATTATTGACCTAATAGTGTTTGTCTTGTACCTCGGTCTGGTCAACTCTCAAATAAATCTAATTTAATTTGTTTCTATTATTGCAATAATTAATTTAATTTGTTTGCATTATTACAAAATAATTGTATTAAGAAGACTCCTTGTCCATGTAGTGAACTTCTTTGGCATTTGTATGTTAAGGAAAAAAGGAGGATGATGACAGATATGTAAACTCATTGATTAATATGAATGAAAAAGAGATGGTCCAAAACCGGTGCAGCCAGTGTGTTGGAACCTAAGCTAGTCAGCTACCTGCTTCCAGTTTCAATTCAAAACAATTTCCATTTCTCTACCTACTCCTTGACCGTTTGTTCAAAACGAATACAATATTTCTCTAGCAGTAGTGGGTAGAATATACATTCGTGTTCCATTATTTTTGCTCAAGGTGTCCTTTTCTGATGACAGTAGATTGAAGATTGTTGTCCCATCACTATCCATGCCAATTTTCTTCCATGTTATGTTGTATTTATGCAAAATCTCGTAGTTAAGCGTCTTTCACTTAGATTACTTCACGTTCTACTTTCTAGTTCTTAGTAGGAACCTACCTTTGATCTGAATGTGCCAGCCTTTGGACCGCAAGAACTTTGAATGGCTGTAAAGTTTTGCAATTAAATTGCCGTGTTAACTTTTGCCACTTGTTGCTAGCTGCACTTAGTTGGACAAATGAGCTTTTTCAAGTTCAAAATTTGTCTTGAAGTAAAGTTCTAGTGGAGAGTTAAGATATGCATTCGTCAGCCCTATTGTAAATTTTTCTTTGAAAATTTTGAGATAAAGATAATATATGTTAAAATTCTGAAATTGAGTAGTAAATTCAAGAATATACAAGGGTGAAGTTTCTTATTGATCCATAGTAATTAGTTGTTTATGACTTGCTATCAGTTTGAATATCTGTTGATAATATTATACTAATTAATTAACTGAAGAATAGCTGCTTGTTTAATGCAGCTATCAAGAATGGAACACAAGGTTGAGTCAGCCAGACAGCGGGAATTAGTTTACTGGCACTTAGCCTCACATGGTGTGCCCAAGAGCATACATTGTCTTTGCCTCAAATTAGCTGAAGAATATGCTGTAAATGCAATAGCTCGATCTCGTTTACCTCCACCTGAATATATTTCTCGACTTTCCGATCCCTCCTTTCACCACCTTGTTCTTCTAACTGATAATGTCCTCGCAGCTTCTGTCGTTATCTCATCCACAGTCCAAAAATCAGCCAACCCTGAAAAATTGATTTTCCACATAGTGACTGACAAGAAAACTTATACTCCTATGCATGCATGGTTTGCAATTAATTCTTTTCAATCAGCAGTGGTGGAAGTTAAAGGGTTACACCAATACGACTGGTCTCAGGAAGTAAATGTTGGAGTCAAGGAGATGCTAGAGATCCACCGCCAGATTTGGAGACATTACTATAGAAATTTGAAAGATGATGACTTTGAGTCTGATGGAGAACATAAAAGATTCTTAGAAGCTCTGAGCCCCAGCTGCCTTTCCCTTATGAACCTTCTTCGAATTTATATCCCCGAGGTAATTGCTCTATTTCTTTCACAGATATTCCCTAAGGAATGGTTGATGTTGAATAGAATTTGTAACGATATCATTTAATTTTCATTGGACACACAGCTTTTTCCAGATCTCAACAAGATAGTGTTCTTGGACGATGATATTGTTGTACAGCAGGATCTATCTTCTTTGTGGGAACTGGATCTCAATGGAAATGTTGTTGGTGCAGTTGTCAACTCATGGTGTGGTGACAACTGTTGCCCGGGAAGAACTTACAATGACTACTTCAATTTTTCACACCCTATCATTTCATCCAACTTCAATCATGATCGTTGTGCGTGGCTGTATGGCATGAATGTCTTTGATCTTGCAGCTTGGCGGCGGACCAATATTACAGAAACATACCATCAATGGCTACAATTTGTAAGTATATTCTCACATCAGCCAGTATTTTGTGACTTGAAACTGCTTGTAAATAAGAAAACATTCATATTTCTGGACTCTTGAGACTCGATACCATGATACTAATATCTTATGTGCACTTCGCAGAACCAGAAGTCTGGGTTGATATTGTGGCATCCAGGAATAGTTCCGCCCGCCTTAATTGCATTTGAGGGTCATGTGCATCCTATTGACCCACTGTGGCATGTGGCTGGGTTAGGTTCTCGATCCCCAGAGGTTCCCGAAGACATATTGGAAGCTGCTTCCGTTATACACTTCAGTGGCCCAGCGAAGCCATGGCTCGAGATTGGGTTTCCAGGGGTACGAGGCTTGTGGAACAAGCATGTAAATTGTTCAAACAAGTTTGTTAGGAAATGTAGAATCATGGGGTGAAGAGGACGAAGTCCTTTAACCCTCCGATATTCATTTTGGGACAAATCCCGAAAGCAGAGTCTGGGGAAGCAGAGGGAAGAAGGTTTCGGCTTCAGTCTCTGCTCACACTCAGCTCTGGACACTTCAGATGGTGTTATTTCATGTTCATAAATCATAGTAGACAATAGCCGAAGAAGGTACGATGCGACTATACGATAGAATCAGGATGTTCAAATTCAACCTTCAATGCGTATAAGGGATGTAAAGCTTCATGGATGCATCTCTCTCTGACGTTATTTTGTAAATTTTACTCAGGTAACTGAAGTGCTTAGTTAATCAGTGATGAAACTTGTTAATAAGGCTTATCTACCATAATTGCTCAAGTTTTAGAGTAATCTTATTCCTGTTCTTTTTACTTGCTGTATTTTAAAAAGGAACAAAGAAAAGGAGAACAAGGCCGCCAATAAATAAATGGTTTGGGCGGTGCTAGCATCAATTGCTTATGCATCTTGTGCTTACGAGGCATTATTATAAATGGGTCTTGTAATGCATCTAACTGCTCAGTCACATGCCCATACAATAAGGGATGACGATGCGTTGTCAGCATTGCATAGACTTACTTTTGTTATTGTAAATTCTTTATTTCACGATTATAAAAGCATTCTTTACCACAACAATAAGTATGGTTGGTAGGCAAGAAAATTTTGGGTAAAGACAGTCTGATCACGTTATTAGTAGGACACTTCTTGCAAAAGCATGAGACTTTTGCCATTTTGATCTCATCTGATTCCACAAAGTTTTTATTTGATGCGAGAGTTACCCTAACTGCCTGAATACATAACGAAAGATGATGAAGTTGTTTTTGTTTGAAAGTGTTCTAACTAATGGTATACCATACGCATATAAAATGTATCCACGTTAATATTTTCACATGTACAAATTTTCTTAGCGTCTTTGGTCCCAAATGCATACGTCCCTTACATGCGCAGAAAATGACGTTTACCAATAAAGTATATGGTAGAGTGGTACCACTGCCTTTGCCTACAATTGCTTGCCTCCAATGGATTTTATTCCAAATAATTGAATACGTTAAGCACAATGTTATGCAGTTGGGCTATATTGGGCACACTGCAATAGATGAGCAGCTCACGCGAAAGTGATCGAAATATTGTAACTACCCTCCCCCAATGGCCCATTTTCTCTTCGATAAAGTCAAAAACCTAGTTGTCACCCTGGCCATGCACTTTCTTGGCTCCTAGGGCAAACATTATACCAGAAATTTTCTCCCACGCAGGTTTTTCCCCGAGTGAACGGTTAAGTCTCAACCACTTCTTTTTGTTCTTTCATGCGCAGGAGAACAGAGCTCAACCTTATAATCCATTTTTTACAAAACGAAAATATAAACGAACTTTGTGGAAACTACATGTAAACTTTATAATGGTATGACATGTGTGCACACATTTTTCTTTTCACTTTGTTTTAATTTGTGAAGGGAAAATATTTGACTCATGTTGGAAGTAGTCATTCCTACTTACCAGTCAATTATAGTGTGCACGTATTATTCTATGTGTATATTTGTCAAGTTATGCATGCGTGTTGAAACTGTAATTTGCAGAAATTAGGAATTTATGCAGATGAACAAGATAATAGAGATGGTCCTTTAATTAGGGTGAGAAAATAAAATTTACTATATATGTTATCACAGAATTGGGGTACATCATCACACACACACACACACATATATATATATATATTATTTAGAACATGAGCCAACTGGTTCTCCCATATACATAAAAGCTACAACGTCAATTATCTCATAGATTTATGAAAACAGATCAGAGGATATGGATTGAAGAACATCAGACGGCAGTCCAGCAATTCAACTGCATCCAAAGACCAAAAGTAAACAGTAACTAATTATCTCATCTGTATGTGATTTAGAAAGAAAATATAAATTGTATTACTAGTAATGGTAATAAAACTTACACAAGTTGGAGAGCTGTCTGGCCTTGGCGAGGGTAATGGTTATTATTGGACTCCAAGATCACAGGGAAGAAGTTCCTGTCATACGAATTCGAAGGCATCGACGGATCGTAGGAAGTTCCCGGCATCATATGTGTGTGCTGCTGCTGCTGTTCCCTCTCGCTTTCAGCTATCTGTACCATTCATTCATTAATTTTATCATTCGTATTCGTAATTAAGTTCAACTTTTCGGTATTGGCTCATGCATTTGAATGTTCACCTTTGCTCTCAGAAAATTGTTGTGGTGTTGCAGCTCAGTCTCCTGCATGCACAAACGTACGAAGTATTGCTTTTAAGAAGTAGCATATTGTATAAGTAACATGAAGAAAGCAATTTGGCACCAAGGGAACTTAGTAGTATAGACTGTATAGTAGAAGATAGGGTTACCCTCTTTTGCATGAATTCGATTTCAGAAAACAGGATTTCATTCTGCGGTTTATCCGAGCACACGTAAGTTGAGATTTTGAGTAGGGATTAAGTAAACTTGAAGGAATTAAACAGATTTTTGCAATTAAAATAGGGAAATGGAGTACCTTTTTGGATCTTATTCTGCTGATTCCTTTCTCCAATCTTACTTCTAGGTTTTTCAGTTCCTTGACTTTCAAGGTGCTAAGGGATTCCCCCAGTATATGCCTGCAGGAGAGAGAGAGAGAGAGAGAGGCAGAATGTTTAAATGGACAGAAATTAGACAATGTAGTTAATTATTAATGAAATCAACTTAATTTACCTGTTTGAATTCTGAATTTCTCGGATCTGTCTTCGCAGTTTCGATGCTTCCTGCTGATAAAACTGAGGCCATGTATGGTGACAGCATTAGACAAACTCGTAAAACCAATTTGTACCGTTTCAGTACATACAAATTAAATGAATAAACAGTGGACGAAATTAATGTCTAGAAAATAGGAAGCTTAAACTTGGATCAGGAGCATTACAATTGCTTCTCTAGGGTTCAGGGTTACAATTAGTTAGCCAATAATGTGGATTAGGTGACCAAAATTGGATATAAATAGTTAATTTATAGAGAAATTAACTATTAGGCTTTCCTTCTACATAAGGACTTCCACTTCCAAGCCTGCTATAAAAAAACATTATCCTTTTCTATTCATCATCTAAAGAAGTTTACCTTTACCTGAGTGTTAGCTTCTGATACAGATCCACCGTCGATAGAATCAGCGCATGCTTTTTTGTACCTATCGATTGTTGCTCTAATGCTGCAACGGGAAAAAGAAATTAAGCTAAACTTCCAAATTTTTATGTGGTTCTTCAAACACTTAAATAATTTGGAATGAAATGCCCTATTTCTTAGGTATTTTAATTAGAAATGGCACCAATATAGGAAATATTGTAGAATGTTGCCCTAAAAGGGATAAGCTAGGCGCCTAGAGGCCAACCATAACACCTCGTAAGTCAAATAAATCTGCCGCACACATTGAGAGATCAAAACCCTATTTCTTTATTCTATCATCTCACTCTCTTATTAATTGTTAGTCACCATGCAGAATTGCAGTACAACAAAAACAAATAACCCAACGTTTTTGTCAAGCCTTTTGCATATTTTCTCAGATTCTCTCGCCTTGAGAAATATTAAAGTTCCAAGTGAACCATCATCAAATCTTTGAGGGTTTTTAATTGGTGACTTATTTTGGTCGTGTCGGGGAAGAAAAACCTTTGTGGCATCATCGAATCGAAGCAATCTTACGTGGACGTCTTGATTCTTGAAGATCAAGTTTCTTGCTGCTTCTATGTGAGGTAAAACTCCTAACTATCATCCTCAATGTATATTTTTAGGTGTATATCACATGGAAATTGCGTTTTCAATACTTTATATGAACTAATCATGAACGTTATGGATACCCTATAGATATACAACGTTTTGTATATGGACTAGCTAGCATGAATATCGTTTCCTGTTTGATCATGGACCCAACTCAGAACAACTGTTATGGAAGTTAATTAGTAAAAGAATGTCTGCAAAATCCAAATTCGGAGAACTAATGTAAGAACCTCCAGAAATACACACACATATATAGACATTGAGATACATACACACGGAAACAAGAACCACCAACAATTTACTTGTTAATTGCCTAGGCCTAGCTATAACACACCGTTACATTAGGGTTAAGAATTAGGAGCATCAATTTATGAATACTTATACATGTCGTTTGGTATCAAAGATTGAATTGGATAACTCACTAGATTTAATGTTGTTGTTAGAAAGAAATAATGGATGCTAAGGCCCAAATTTTGTCATAGTTGAAGATAGAAGAGGATCATAAAGAAAACGCATCCCTCCCAATTCTATCATTTCTGCATTCTTTAACATGATTTGAAAGTTGATATTGTAGAACAAAGTGAAACCTAATATAACGATATGACTGAATCCTGATCGATTTTCTCTCAAACAATATAGTCTTCAAAATATACACATGTTTTTGAAGTATATTAGTTGTCATCTAAAACAATGGTAAATATCAAATTTGTCATTTTTGCCAAGTTACGGCTCATGGCAAGCAATGAAACGAAACGAAAAGGAGTCGAATGTCCGAAATAACATTTAACACAAGGCACATGACTTATTTCAAATTAAAATTATAAGATAACAAATTAATGATTTTGAAAAATTAATATGACAAATTGCTTACAATTTGAGTTCATATGACAATGTAAAAATTGTGTATAAATTTATATGACATTTCAAAAAATATCTCTTTGATAATATTATATATTAGCGACTCTTCCATCAATTCAACTCCATTGCTTAACGATATGTTTTGAATAAAACATATTGTGGGACCAAATTTGCTAACTTAGAAAAGTAGCAACATTGTAAATATAAACACATAAATTTTCCAATGGTACCAAATATACAAAATAGATTAATATTTTCAGAGGGGCTAAGCTGTATGGCCAGATGTGGCTCTCAACCACCGTTGATGTTATGCAACATAGAACAGAACAAAAAATTGACCCCAAAAAAGAAAAACCAAAAGAATCAAACAAAATCATTCAATTTCACTGTACTCTTGGGGAGTTGTTACCTTAATTTTGTCGAGCCATGTAGTGATTGGTTGCCTCTGCCATGCTGGCAGAAGATCCCCAAATATAATTGGCTCCCCTCTCACAATCTCTAAATCTACGCCACGTGTCAGTAAACCTTTACACAATGACCAATAACCCTAAGGAACAGTCCTATTCCCACCTGATGACCCCAAAACACCAAAAGACCCCTTAAATTTTTACGAAGTTATGGTATTAAACAAGTGAATTTTATTCATATAAAAGAATTTATTTCCTTTTATGTCCTTGAATCTCTGAGAGAAAGATGTCTGTTTTTGCAGCCACTATTAGCATTTTCTTTTCTTCACAGACTTATCTTCTCCATTCCGCTGAGTCATTTCATCTTTCCTTCATTCATCTCTCTCTTTTCACAGAGTCAGACAACTTTTCTTGGAGTATATGCAGGAAAATAATAAACAAATCTATGTATAGATACGGTTCAGTAAAAGCATGATAACAATTAAACACGATTCTCCCTCTTCTGGGGTTTTGCAGTGATATATGCACATATATATATACACACACATGAATTTTGAAGCATAAGTTAGAGTCTCTTTTGTTTTCTTGATGACATTGTTTCCAGAAAGATGAAAGAACTCATGACTAATTGCTTTATGTGTCCACAAAGAAAGTTGAGGTTCTACTATAAAATCAATTGGCAATATGGGGAGTAGCCCAACCTTTTATAAGCTCACACTAGGTACATACTCCATCAATGTGAGATTCATTCTCAACAATACATAGATATTAGAGTAATTATAATGCACACAATAAGAGTAAGGAGAATTATTTTTCATTTTTTTCACCACAATGTGAGATTCATTCTCAACAATACATAAATATTAGAGTAATTATAATGCACACAATAAGAGTAAGGAGAATTATTTTTCATCTTTTTCACCACAGAAACTCAAAAAATAAAAAGAAACAAAATAAAGGGAAGATATTGGAAAAATGATAAAAAGTGAGAAGAGAAGATGGACGTGAAGGGAATCATTTTGCCACAGCAGCTTCTTTGTCCGGAAAAAGGATCATTGTGGATCATTTTACTGGGAATCCTAGGGATTTCATGATCGTAACTGTTCATCGTACATTGTGAGATGAGAAATGATTTCAAAATTTAAAATTTAGAATTAAATATAAATAGTACCTAACAAAGACTGATCATATGATATACGATGAACGATTACGATCATGAAATTCCTAGGATTCTCAGGAAAAAAATCCGGCGAGGATCATTTTCTCTTTGTCCGGACAGGAAGAACAGAAACATCATGTCTGACGTGACCATAGATTCGTAAGCTGTAAACTCAAAGAAACAACAATACAGCTCACTCACTCACACAAGAAACCCTAGGCACATGCTACCACTTCCTAATATATATAAATATACATATATATATATGTATATATGTATTAAACAGGCGAAATTTCTATTGTTTTCCAGAGTATTTGGGCCATTAGATCCAGATTATTGTATTTTTTTACGAAGAATCTAAACATCAGAAATTTCGGAGTACAGAATACCCCCGAGCATACTAGAAAAGTACCCCAAAGTATTGGTACTGGACTTTGGGTTTTAAAACCCTAAACACAAGATCTACTGATCTAGCCTTCCAGACCCACCACAATGATGAAAACAGTCTTCATCTTTTTGTGTGAATTTCAACATATTATATGGTATTTGGAGAGTAATACAATGAAAGAATTATAACAAGGTTTCAAGATCGTAATTATTTCTTGTGTGATTTCTGTTGAAGATAAGACAAAAGTTTAGACATCCGGTACCAGTAGGCTTTTGAACCTATTTCTCAGCCTTGCAGCTGACTGATTGAAGCATGGCTTGGTTGATATGTAATTTGACTTTGAAACCCTAGCTAACAACACCCTAGCCTCCTCCTTTATGTTCCAGAAAGGGTCAAAGAGGACAAAAATTAATGTATAGAACATAACTACAAAAAAGGTGTTGAATTTACTTAGGTCTGGCAATCTGATTGAAGTTTTTATTTGGGTTTTAACTTGTATATACATTCATTTTACTTAGACCAAAAAATACATACAATTTGCTTCTTAGCTGAGCTGACATGTTTACTTAGGAAGCGTCATGAGATGAAGGGAACTGGCTAATGAGAGTTGGACAGCTTTGTGATCTGCAGACATACATTTTATGGCCTACTGATAGATGACATGTGAAGAGAGAGAGAGAGAAGTAGTTTAACAACAATGGAGATACATGGAAGCTGATCTAACAGACCTGCAACTCTTTGGAACCCTAAGATTGTTGTCATACAAAAACTCCTCGGATTAATACACAACTTCCTCTATTTCTATCTGTGATCCTACAGATCTGCATCCAGAGAGCTAAGCTATAGAAAGAATAGGCACAAAATATAAAGAAAATATAAAAAATAATATATTACCCCAAAGATCAAAGTTTTCTGGTTGATAAGCTGAAATATACCTCAAAGCTTACTCAAAAGAAAATTACTCATTTCACCCTGGCTAGCCACACCCAAAACCAAAAGAACAAAATAATTAGTCTAACTGCTCCTAAACCAGTCTTAATATTTTGTAAACAACAGCGAGATTTAAAAAAAAAAAAACAAGTTAGCAGTTAGAATTTTATGTGTAACCAAATAATCAAAATTAACTTCCAGCTGAAAAGTTAAGATAATATATATAAAGGAATATAGTGATTAATTGAATTGGAAAAGACTACTTGAAGATCAAATCAGAAGAACTCAGAGAGAGAGAGAGAGAGAGAGAGAGAGAGAGACCCTGAAGTGCAAGAACAAAACAGTTAAATATGTCAATTACAAAGTAATATGCAAACCTGTTGTTAGCATACTCATAGAGGCGGCCACGGGTGGAGAAGACAATAAGAGCAACTTCAGCATCACAAAGAACAGACAATTCATAGGCTTTCTTAAGCAATCCGTTGCGGCGTTTGCAGAAGGTGACTTGTCGATTGGTAGTGTTTTCGATCCGCTTAATCTCAATTTTGCCTCTTCCCAATTTTTTTTGGGTAGAGCTCTCAGGTGCTTGATTTGGGAACTCCATTGTTGCAAGGATGAAAAATGGCAAAAACCCCTCCAAATAGATGAATTGTGGTTCTTTCTGTTAGCTAGCTAGCCAAGAAAAACACCAAAAAACCACTCTCTAGTTAAAAGGCATGATCAAGATCAGTTGACAACTATATTTGTAATAAAGCAATAGACATAGATTAACCTATTGAGTTATGTGTGAGCTTTATTTTTGTTTAAGACCACTAAACCAACTTTTAAAAGAAAAGAAAGCGAAGTAGGAATAGAGGATTAGGGATATATAAACACAAAGAAAATAATTACTTCTTGACTTTGAGTTTTTCTTTTGGGGTTGCAATTGGCAACCGGAAGGAAGAATTGCAGAAGTGGGAAGTGGGTAACTTTTTTGGTTAAAGAGATTGGACAGCAAAAATGGACGTCTTAACCATCACCCAACACATCCTCCATTATTTGCTTTGTAAGGATGATAGTCTAGAAATATACTTACTATATGTGTATCTATCTACCTAGCTAGGTTGGATTATATAGCAATGGAGGAGAGGAAGTAGTAGAAATATAAAGAGGGATGGAGAAAACAGAAGAGGGTTTGACGTGTATTGCTTTCTTGCTCCATTAACCGTCCATCTCTTCATGTATGGGAAAAAGTGAAGGTGTTAAAAGGGTATTTGGAGAATTACCTATTTTTATGAATGGAGTTTTTTGAACGGGACCCATTTATTCTGGAAGTTGCACTCAAAAGCTTTATTTTCATATAAAGAAAAGAAAAAGGAGAGGGGAGGTCATGGTCTTTTTGAAGAGAAAAAACAAAATGAGAGGACCTCTCATGTTTTTGCTTCTTGGATTTTTGAATTGGCCTTTTATTCTAGATTTGTTTTCTGATCTCCCCAAGAGTACTACTTCTGTTCAAAGTTTTTCATCTCTCTCTCTCTCTTCCCCCCCCCCCCTCCTGCATTATTTGAACATATATTTACTAACAAGGGTAGTGACGTAACTGAAAAAGACTCCCATGTGATCTTTTGTGAAGTGTTCATGACAATGTCCTATTTTTGAGTTCATTTATGGAAAGTATGGAGCATCCCCTTTGATTCATTGTGCTACCATTTTACATCAATATGGTGCCAATGCCACAAAATGTAGGTCGTCTAAGAGATGTTTTATGCACGCATATATATGTAACAATGCATGACCACCATCAATTAGAGAGAAATTAGTTGTATTTACCGAAAAGGAGAATTTACTTGTTCAGGATGTGAGGAAGAGTGTTAGCCATATTGGTTATGTTTAATGTTGAAATTAACATCAATATTAGAAATGAGATACATTATGCTTGTAAGACTGCCTCCAACCCTAGGCTAAAAGCCAAAAATACCCCACTTATTCCCCCCTCCAAAACACAACCCAACTGAAGCCAAATTATTGGGCTAAAAGCCAAATGTTAAACCTAGGCCAAATACCCCCCCTCCCAAATTTAGCCCACACACGCATGGACTCGCCCAAAAAATACCCACTCTTGGCCCGTTCACTCGCCCACTCGCCCCACGCGGCCCGCTCACCCTCAGCGCCAGACAGGGGCCTACTATCAGGGCCATTGTCGGCCACAACCCAGAGCCCAACGGCTCTTTTCTGCTTCCAACGGTCCAGATTCATAATTTATTTTTTTTTTTAAATGTTATTTTGAAATACATTGAATCAAACGGCTGAGATCGAATATAATCAAATCTAACGGTAAAAAAAAAAAAAAAAAAGATATAACGGCCTAAATTTAAATCCAACGGCTAAAATAATTAAAATAATTATTTAACTCAAAATTCACCCAAAACCTCTATAAATGCCTATGTATTTGTTCAAACATCCACACAAAACTCAAATTTCTCCTACAATTCTTCCAATTTTTCTTTCTACCATTTCTTTCCATTTCCAAATTGTTCAACATGGCAAGACAGCACATTAGAGGTCGTAATTGGACATGTGAGGAAGATGTTGCTTTATGTTTGGCATGGGTTTCTGTTAGCGAAGATGGTACAGTTGGCACAAATCAAAATAAAAAGTGTTTGTGGGATAAAATCATTACAAAGTTTCAAGAAAACTACAACGATAGCGGGAGGGACGATGGTGGTGTTTACAATCGGTGGAAGACTATTAACAAAGCATGCACTTTATGGAAGGGAAGTTTGGAGAGAGCCGTGGTTGGCATGGCTAATGGAAGGAGCGCCACATAAATTGTGAGTTTATTCTTGATATTTTATTTGTTATGTACATAATATTATTTTGCAACTAATTGTTTTTATGTATTTTTTGCATAGGGTGACAAAGCAATGGAAATTTACAAGACAAGAGTAACACAAAAAAAATCAAGTTTTTAAGTTGCAACATGTTTGGGACATCCTCAAGGATTGTCCGAGGTGGGGGACTGATGCGGACCAACAACTGATGCGGACCACCAATGGGGAAGATTATTTCGACGTGAAGACGCACCGACAAATGCCGGAGATGAAGGTATCGATGAAATGACCCCAACTCCTTTTGTAAGGCGCCCGGGAAGAGATAAGCAAAATGAAGCAAAGAGAAAAGGGAAGTCCCAAGATCCTTCGAGTGGAAACATTGCTACTAGAATTGCAAAATTGAGCGAAAGTCGTGCAGGCCCTCTAACAATGGCCCATCAAGCTTGTAGGATCTCGAATGTTATTTCCACATCCTTCCTATAAGACTCTTGCCTCTGCGAAAATAATTTTTTCTTTGCACTATTGGGATAAGAAAAACTTTTAACAAAGGTAGACCAACTAGGATAAATACCATCAGTTAGGTAGTAACCTAGCTCATACCTATTACCATTTACCTTACACCAAAATTCTGGTGCCTATCCATTGACAGCATCATTGAACAGAGGAGAACACCAAAGAACGTTGATATCGTTGTTTGATCAAGGAGCGCCAAAGAATGCATGCCAAATCCATGTATCGTAAGACGCCACAGCCTTGAGCACGATAGTTGGCTTGTTATGACGGCCCTTGAATTGGCTAGCCCAAGCAGTAGGACAATTCTTCCACTCCCAATGCATACAATCGAGACTTCCTATCATGCCAGGGAAGCCTTTTTTGTCTGCCTTATGTAGAAGCCTCTTCAAATCTTCACGATTTGTCTTACGGAGGTATGTGGCTCCATATATGGCTTGAATTGCCTGACAGAAGCGCTTCAGGTTCTCAATAGCAGTAGTCTTCACAAGTTGGCAATACTCGTAAGTTGAGTCTGTAGAGCACCCATTAGCTAGCATGTGAAATGCAAATGTGAGCGTCTGATGAGGTGATAGACTTTGTCGGCCTAGGGCATCTATCTTCCTTGCAGAGTAATGGTCATGATTGACAATTGGGTTCAATATGATTTCAAAAAACTTTCTCCTTATCCGAAACTCCCTCCGAAAATCATGAGCAGGAAATTTTGGACGCTCGATGAAATAATCTTTCATCATTTGTTCATGACATTCTTCTTTATCACACTACACAAATAAATGTCCCGTGACATAACCACGATGACTAAATTCGGCATGGTGCTCATGTTGCATAAGCAAGTTTGCAAGTTCAACTTCGGCATTGATCATTTCAGCATCCTCAATGTCAAGCCTTGTTTGGTATTGTGTCATCTGCATTGCCCTGCTACACCTTATTCTATCGCCCATTGATAAGATATTGAGGATTTTTAGGAAACAAAAACACTTTCAAAGTTGAAAGATTGATGAATATAAAGGATGATTGAAGGTTAAAAGATTGTGTGATCAACTGATATTGGACCTGTGTTTATATAGAGGATAATTGATGAAAGTTGAATGGTTGGTGAAAGTTGAAAGTTTGGTGAAAGTTGAAAGCTTGCTTTGTGGAAAGATTTAGTAATTTTTCAATATTTATCGGAATTTAAATATTTTTAAATTAAAATGTTCATAAAATTAATTTACGATAGTCTACATAATTTTTTTTTAAAGTTAATTTAATAAAAAAAATTAGCGAAAGTTTATTCTTCAATAATCCCAGGCTAAAATTTTAGGCCATAAGGGTTGGAGCAAAAAAGTTGTTTCTGTGCTAAAAGCTAAATTTTCCGGGCTAAAAAATTTGGCTTTTAGCCCAAGAGTTGGAGATGGTCTAAGGGAGTTGGTTTTTTTTTTAGATTCCAGCATGACTAGAGGTTACGTTTTGCGGAGACTTGCTCCAAAAGAGGTGTATAACATACAAAATTAATCACACATAATTGATACAAGTGTGCGTGAGGTGAGTCCTGGGGACACTCCTTTAGTGCAGGAGTTTCGCTTGTGTTTCTCTAAGATCTTCTGGGGTTGCCTCTTAAGCGAGAGCTTAATATTGTTATCAAGCCACTTCGAGCACAACTATGTCTCAGACAGCGTATAGAATGGTGCTAGCCGAGTTGAAGGAGTTGAAGACTTAATTACAAAAGTTAACATATATAGACCTAGCAATTTCCCCCTTGGGTGCACTAAGGTTGTTTGTAAAGAAGAATTATGGATCCACGAGATCAGGTAACTAAAGCCTTGAGTAGCTACATAGTGGATAAATTGAGACCTCTTCCTCTTGTAAACAAAGTAAGTTTCTTAAAACTGTTCTATCATAATGTGCTTAAATGCAGCTACTAGCACTACTAGAAAATATAAATTTGCCGACAAATTATAAACCGACAAAGCAAAATTTTGTCGGCACAAGAGTCCTTTCTCAATAAAATTTTTCGTTGGGAAAGGCTCTTCGCCGACGAATTTTGACTTTTACCGACAAACTAATTTTATCGGCAAAGTGGAAATTTCTAGTAGTGTAGGGTTTTTCATTTTTACTTAACAGCTTCACTTCAACTTGTCAGCTGAAATGTACATTGGTATTTCTCATGTAGTTTGGTATTATATAATAATACTTATGTGCAATATTATGTGCATTCGACATGGGCTGCAATGCATATGGATCGATCAGTCTCTACGTGATATCATGCCATGCGTGCATGCATGCACCCAGAAGGATCTTAATTAGTTATCCCTCGCTAGGTATAGCTATAGTACTAGTTGATTGGGCCACGGACCTGATATACAGGTGATGTTTCCACGTAGCATTAATAGCCACCATCCTAATTCTAACCCTAATCTAATGGTCTTACAATAGCTAGGCTGCCCTATCTACTTAGATATGATTTGATATTAAATTGACCATATCTAAACAACCACGGACCATATTCTTCTCCAATCTGAGTTTTGCTCACGACCCGGATGAATTCAAGGACATATTCAAAGAAATTCTGAAGAATGGTTTGTGGATTACGAACGGCTATATTGCCATGATACATTGTGCAAGGCTATAATTGCTGTGCACGTATGAAAGCTCATAACACTAAGACCGAACGTACGTATTTCCTCTCAACTGCATTTTCCTGCTATTTTTCTTGAATTTATATTCCAGTTTGTACATAGATTGCAACAACAATCAATACATGAGATGGATTTATGAGGGTAGATTTGATGTTTTATATAGTTTTATTTGATGCATATATATTGTTTCAAGCTAAGTAAGTCTTTCACTATTCCAGTTCTGCTAATCACGTATCTTTGGATATAAGATTGAATTCTGTTTGTTCCACTCCTTATAAGGGCATGTAAGGTTTGGTAAACTTACAATGTGAGACATCTCTTTACATCCCCATGCGCCCCCATCATGAATGACTGCTGAGAGTCACGCAAGGGACAACCTACTCTAGCTAATACCATAAAGAAATTTAAGATTCCACCATAAAATCAATTAGAAATATGAGGAGTAATAAGGACGTATAAGTTTTTGGTAAACTTTTGATGTAAGATATTTCTCACATCCTCACATTCTGGACATGAGGAGATTGTAATTGATAGTTAAAAAAAAATGGTTCTATACTTAAAGGAGGATAGAAATGGCGTTCTTTTTACACCTTTTTATACACAAAAAATAATGAACCTTAAGTTTTGACCAACTTGAAGTCTTAACAGATTCTTCAAGATCTTAATTTCCTCGAAAATGAACCGTATTGTTGCGGTCGCGCACGAGTGATTGCAACAAAATTCACTACTTAAAAGTTTAAAGTGGTGTATCACAAAATGACAAGCATCATTTCCAAACAGATTTTATGCACAACATCCCCCATGTCATTTTAGGTGCAAGTTGTGGGCAAAAGCAAAAGTTGGCACAAAGCTGAATAGGATGCATTGCTAAATAGGATCACCTTCTGCTTTCTTTTCTTTTCCACTGGAGGGGGGAGAGAGAGAGAGAGAGAGAGAGAGAGAGAACCAATCGCAATATGAAGTACAAGCCATAATGCATCATGCATTGTAAAAAGCAAATGATAACTAAACACTTTTTTCAACTTTTCTTAGTTAGAAAAATGAACAATAAAGATTGACTTTAAAATATCAAACGATGAAGAAACATCAGACTAGTTGATAGGCTGGATAATCTAAGACAACCTTTTTTTTTTTTTTTTTTTTTCCTTCTTCCACGATTCTCTTTAATTTTCACTATCGGATTGAAAAAATTCATCGTATTTTGAAGAGGGTAAAAAGGGTATTTGCATTTCTCTTGTAAAAATTGTAAATAATTATATATTGAATGACATATTGTGAAGGGTGTGAGAGGGACCACAATGATGCTACAACAATGATGTTACATTTGAACTTGGAAATGATGGTGAAAGAAGTGCAGGTTTTCAATGCTTATACCTACCATAAATGCCACATACCCTGTCACATTCCTACATAAAAGAGGAATTGGAATGCTTGGAGTATAATTTATGTGACAACAAACTTACAAGGACATTGTGAAATTTTCTTCTAATTTTGATAATTTCATGTTACATGTATGCCAGAAGAATTGCAAAGACCTTGGTACAAATTAAATTAATGGTATAATTGCAAACAGGATTTGGTTCGAATTTGAGCATTTCCTAAATAATTAGGCATCTTTAGAAAACACAAAAATTCTACTATAACATGTAACTAACGAATGAATGGTTTGATTTGTGGACGAGGATTCAACAACAAAGAATTCAATGGCCAAGACCCCAGTATGTTTTAAGTTTTATACACCGGTACATACCAAAAAAATCCATCAAAACATTTCACACCCTTTGAGATTTGATGCTTCTGGCTGTAATTGACTAATAGTGATGACCACAAGATGATATCACTTTTCAGTTGTATTGGGTGCCAATTTTTGAAGTCCCTTGTAGCACAATTGTTGTGGAAATGGTGGCTGAAATTAGAAGTGGTAAAGAAATAGGGGTGTGATATTCACACTCTTTTTTACTTCTCATACACATTTTTAATTTTCAGCTGTCGGATCGGATGAATTGAATAAGATCAAAGAACATAAATTAATAAGAGGTGTGTGAGAAGTAAAAAATAGTGTGTGGATAGCACACCCCAAGAAATAACATGGTGAATTTATTCCCAATTGAAATCGCCTAAAATTTTCCTACCAAACAAGAAAAGGGGCTTTTGTTTCTGCTAAAATGCAAAACCAGTTTTGGATAGAGATCAATTGTTTTTTAAAGGTTTCTGAAAACATTGGGTTCATTGGGCTTAATTCCAATGGAAAGTTGCTGGTGTTTCCTGCCAAACTCAAGTGAGCAAACGTATTATTTTAATACTATGAAGAAAGTTGATGTTTCATTTTAAATTAATTGGCAAGGAGGAAGTGAGCCAACACCTTGTAAAGCCCTTGCAAGGTCGGTTTTCTCATCTTCCCGATATGAAACAATTCTTCACATCCTTACACAAAGGCCACTTGTTTTTGTAATCATATGCATATCTTATGTTCCACCAATTAAGCTTAATCTGCTTGTAGGCCATGTTTTAGTAGTGCTTTGGCTCTGGTTTTGGAATTTATTGCTGTTTTTCTTCCCATTCTGCACTCTGCGGGTTGGTTTGTACTCTGTACTGCTTTTGAAGAGTGTTTCTTTGATTGAATAAATGCTAGTCCATAAACTAGCAAACACACCATATTCTGCTCACTTTTTCTCTTTCTTTTGGCTTATACAGAAAGCAAGCAAGTTCCAATGTGTTGTGAGAATGCTTTTCAGAAAAGCACATTCTTTAGCCAGAACTTCAATTACAAGACAAGTTAGAAGTTTAATTATAAGCAGTAAATATGGAAAAGCATTTACCATGTAGAGGCATATCATATGGTCTCTTATATCATGCATTGCCCTGCCAAATTGTCAACCTTTTATCAACACTAATGGGACTTGGGGCTTAGGGCGACATCCACCCTTGCACCCGAGGTCATGAGTTCAATTTCTCTTTCTCCAATATCAACTTTGTAAGAAGGGAAGTGACTTTGTCACTCTCTTTTTAGCTTCTCTCACACCCCTCTTTCTCTATGCCTGTCAAATTGAATAAATCAAACGAAAACAACAAACAAGATTCAACAAGGGTATGTGAAAAAATGAAAAGAGTGCTTTTATCCATTTCTTTTATAAATAAATAAACTGAAAATGCCAAGTTCACTTTGCAACCACCAAAAAGTTGAATTTAAATTATCATTACTAAACATATGGTCTAAACAATCATAAATGCATAAAAAATTTGTTGCCTTAATGCTACAATAATCCAACTCTGTAAAAATTGACATAATATTTCAGTAGTATGTACAATATCTGGAAAAATCTACAACAGGGGAGTTTACTGAGAGATGGAAAGACCTACTGAAAGACAGAAAAACTGAAACGAGACCCATACAATTGGCTTTCCAATTTGCACCGGAATACATGAAAGATGTAGACACCGAAAATGTAATTAAACGGAACAAAATTGACCTAATTTAACTTTCGAGTTCACTTCGTATCCAGTCCCGCGCGCACATCAATGCTTGGACAGTGGCTGGGTTCATGGAACTCCAATCACGATCGAGCACTCTTCCTCCGGTGTTGAATGCTGAGTCCTTCGCAACTTTTGACACAGGAATTCCCAACACATTGCGGGCCATCATAGATAGGACAGGGTACCTAGGAGCGTGAACTTTCCACCAATTTAATATGTCAAATCCTGGTGCGTGACGAGGGAAGGCATGCTCCTCCAAGTACTTGTCCAAATCTGACTTTGTTCCATCGATCTGAGTAGTTTCCTCAATGTATTTGTCAAAGCCACTCAGCCTATCCCCCGACTCCCTTTCAGAACCGGGAAAGTGAGAACTACCACCTACTTGCCAAGGCACAATTTGATCAAGGGAAGCTAAGCAGTTTGAATGTTCATTAAACAGTGCCTTGACACACTCAAAAGCACCAGAAATATGGCTTGGAGCGCCACTGCCAAAAACTTTCCCATAATAATACTCTACCAATTTCATCTTGAATCGAGGATCTAATATGGCTGCAACCGCTAAACCCAAGCTACATCTCTGCCAATATTCTTCAAATCTGCTTCTCATCTTAAAAGCCAGAGACCTGACATAATCATCTGGATTCTTGCACCACTCATTCAGCTGCGAGTATACTTCACAAAGCTCAGGAAAATACAAATTTGTAGTTGGAGAGTTGAATTTTGTGAAATTGTTGGTAACCTCAACAAAGAGCTTCAAGTAGCTCGTAATGACACTCACTCTATCCCATTCAATATCGGATGGGCACATTGTGTAGACAATGTCATTTGCATGCAAAAGATAAAATGCGTCCCTGTACTCCAAAGCAATTTCAAGCATAACATATGTCGAGTTCCACTGCATTTGATTATCTAGGCATAGGAACCTCTTACTCTGACCTCCAACTTGTTGAGCTATCTCGTCAAATTTTGCTTGTAATGCTTGCGAACTTTTGACATACCGTATACTTCCTCGAATCTTATCAGTTATCTCACAAAGTGCTTCTAGAGCATCCTGAAACATCATATAGAGAACATTTGCTGCACAACGCACATCAAATAACCGACCATTACAATAAAGTAACTTGTTTTGGGACAGCCTGTCTCTGATTCTAATGACTATGTTGTCGTTGGTGGAATAACTATCAAAGGTCATAGAAGACAACTTACGATCAACATCCCATTCAATTAAAGATGTCATGATAATTTCTGAATGCTTGTCTTCTGTATCAGAAGAATCAACGACAATAAAATTTAAAATCTTCTTATTTAATTGCCAAGAATCATCAATATAGTGTGCTGTCAAACACAAGTACTGAGCACCATCCAAAGAAGTCCACATATCCGCACTCAGGCTGATTCTACCAGGCAATTTATCCAACACATCATTCACCTTTTGCTTCTCTTTCACATAGATCTCCATACAGTCAGCCTCAACTCTTTTGGATGTCACAAGCTCAAATAAGGGCTGTAGATTCTTAACAAACACTTTGAATCCAACATCCTCAACCATATCCAAAGGATACCCATGTAAAATAATCATTCGGGCAAGATCAAATCTACTCCGCCTTTGATCAAAGTTATTACTTCCATAGTTGATGATGTCATCTTTTGTCTGCTCTTGCTCAAACCTAATATTCACGAGGTTAATAACTTCATCCTTTTTCTGCTGTTGATCCAAATTGAAATAAGTTCCTTCCTTTCTCTTTCCTCTTGCTGCATAGAGTTGAGGTATGCCAAGACTAGATCTTCTCTGACACCTAATTAAATGATTCCTCAAATGCGATGTCCCACTGGTACTTGATCCACTGAGTTTCTTTTTACAATGTCTACAAACAGCAATACATGTGTTATCAGCCAATTTAATCCTATCAAAGTCATTCCACACGACAGATTTTAATCTGGTTGATTTGATGTTCACCGCATCAGACATATCCATTGCATTGACTTAGTACTTCACCAGTATCTGCGCATCAAAAACATATATCTATAAATTATTAGTGGTAGGATTGCTAACTCAAAAAGGAAAAGAAAGAATCAAAACAAGAAGTCGACTCAAAGATATGACTACTATACAATAACATATTATTTTTTAAAAGAAAAATTCACAAACATTTGCCCGTGCATTTTCACACAACAGAAGTGAAAAAATCTAAAAGGATTAATAATAGTCTCATAGTTATGGCGAACAACAATTATACGACAAAAATTAGTGGTAGGCTTCTGTCTATGCATGTCTGTATAGGCAAGATTGGTAAACTAAGTATCCAAATACCCTACACTCATGCTGGCACTAAATAAAATATAACAGGGCATCCATATCCAACAGTTAAGGTGCAAAATTAACTTAAGTAATAAGTTATGCAGGTTGCAAAGTAACAAATTTCTCAAAGATAACATCAGCCAATTCAAAGAGGCTGAGCTAGAGACGTCAAAAGAAGAGAAATTATTAACAGAATCGAACAGGCATATAATATGAATTGTTATGACGCAAATCAAAAACACGATTTGACCCGTGCCATCCATGACCAAGTAAAAAGAACACAAATCTCGATTTAGCTTTTTGGATTGATGACTAATGCATCTCTCTTCTTTCAGCAGAAAAATGGCATTAATAACTCCAGAGTGTTATTATCAAATGGGCACATAGTCGTCTCAATAAGAACACACAACGAATACCGCATACTTTTACAGCAATTAATGAGTATGAAGCAAGACACCATCTCTGAAACTGCAGGCAGTACAGGCAGAATCACTCTCTACCATAACCGGAACAAGGGTTGCCGTAAAATAACTACGACTTTCGTGCAATCGTTCTACAAGTAACGCAATATGCAAAGCAACCATGCATTAGAAAATTTACCATGCCAAGCATCATAAAATTGAAAATTTACGGGTTTGCAACAAATTCCTAAGAACATTAAAGATGACTAGTTCTTCTATTTGTACCAAAAGAAGGAAGCATGAGGGAAAAGAGAACATATTGAAGGAATCATAATAGTGGTCCAGAAATTCGACCCGAGAATTGAACCCGGGTCCATGACCTAGAGAAAGAAGCTGGGTCGGGCATTTCAGACACGGGTAATTAGGTTGGGAAAGACGAGCTTCTGGCTCGCCGGATCGAAGCCGGATTCCGGGTCCCGACTGACCGAACCCGACTCGAAGTGGGTCGCAGCCGGACGGGTCAAAAGGGCCCACTTTAAAACTCAATTGCGGTTCTTGGATCGGAATCCCAACATACAAATATAAAAACAATACAACAGAATCCACAACAAACGCAGAAACAAATAAAGCCCCGATTTACATTCGGATTCGGACCCAATTTTAGGGTTCAAACCCGAAAATAAATAAATAAAATTGAATTAAATTCAACGACATGTTTCAAAATTAACAGAGGAAAAATAGCAAGATCAGGGTTTGGAGACGTACAGTTGTGGGAGAAGCTGAAAGACGCCGACTTTGCGAGGGAGACGAGAAGAATTGGGGTCGCTAGGGTTTGCGGGTGTTGTGTGAAACTGAGACAGGGAGAGTGGCAGTGTGGGTAAATATGGAAGCAGGAGAGCAATTTGGTGACAAAGCGCGCAGCGGTGGGAATGGGTAACGAAGCAAGGACTTAATTCAATTACTAATCTACCCTTTTGTGTTAAAATGAGGAATTTATTTTTACTTTTTCATTTTAGAAAGCTTTTTACAAAAAAAAAAAAAAAAAAATTTAATGGAAAAATAAATTCATTCAAGGAGAGAAATCACCATTTCAACTGCTATCAATATAATCGAAGAGAAAAGCATTTCTAGCAGTAGTGGGTAAAGTCCTATCCCAAATAAAAGTATCATGAATAGAATGTCCTACGCTAGTAATGGCATCAGCAAAAAAATTCGCCTCTCAAAAGACTTGAGTCAAAGATATAAAAGAAAATGATCGTGCAAGCAATTTGATGTTCTCGATAATAGTCTTCAATCGCCAAGGCATTCTTCACTTGTTTAAAATAGAATTGATAACAAGCTTGGAATCACCTTCAACACAGATATCCTTAAAACTTTTTGACTTTTGCAAACTTCAAAGCATCACGTAAGGCAAGAGCTTCAACAACAAATATAGTATTCTCTCGATTGCGAGTCTCAACAATAATAGGAGACCTATTATGATCTCTGATGACAAAACCTGTAGCCGCTTGAGATCCTACCACTTAATCGTCAAAATTAATTTTGAGCCATGGCGCACGAGGGCCTTTCCACTTAATAATCTAAGAACATATATGAACAACATCGAAATTATGAATTGATCTTGAGCTTTTATTAGTGTTGTAATACTCATTACCAATTGTAGTAGCCACCATTGGAATTCTAACAGGGTGGACCTTACAATTCCAAAATATAAATATCGGAGAAATTGGAGATAGGGAGGCTCATTTGAAAATGATGTTCTGTGAAGAAATGAAAGCATTTCCAAATAATCAAAGGTGTTGTAAAATTGACGGTGTGTGCAATGGAATAAATAAACAAGACACAAAATTTACGAGGTTTCTCTACAGTCAGTGTGACTGGAGTACGTCCTTGGAGCAGTAGTGGTGCTTTCATTATAATCTGAAATAATAAGATTACAAATATAACTCTCTCTATTCTCTCCTCTCTTTTTCCTCTCTCTGCCATGAGCCTTCTGGCTTCTCACTTCCATTTTTTCTTCTATCTTTTTATTCTCTTCGTATCTTCTTTGATTTATAAGCAAAGGAGGAGCACCAAAAGCAAGTAGTGGCAACTCCTAGTGGAAGGACATGTAGAGTGGGATGAGTGGGATGTAGTGGGTTGGCCATCCACACATTGAACGGCTCATAATATTATAGCACTCCCATTGGATGGCCATAAGTCTACGATTGACTCGTTAAAACCTTAATCTATTTTTGGATGCTCCCCCTGATGAGTAGTAACACATTTATTGTACTTGTTGACTTTTCACATGATATTTCTTAAACTGGGCTGGAGGGCTTTCTGCTAGACTTGCACCAAAGGTATGAATTTACTCCTTTTATCTAGAGTGAAATTTGATTCAAAGGTGCTGGACACTTGATCTTGAATCAGACTTGTGATTTCTTCAAGATCCTTGGGACTTGTCCTTGAATGAAATGGAACCACGAGCAGCTCCACATGACAAGTGATCTTCGGCTCTGTTGATTAGTTCGTGTTTTGTTGTGCTTGTCTCCACATACTTCAATGTATCATTTTCGCTTACCTTATTTGTTCTCCTTGCAGAAGTGCTATTTTCCCTATGAAGGTTTGGCATCTTCTCTTACAGTATTTGTCCTCTAATGCAGGAGTGGAATGCAAACCATGCATTTGAAAGGTCTTTCAGAACATCACTTCTCAGCGACTCATCATGCTTGGTAGCTCCAATCATCATATCAGCAGTTGAAAATGAGTACTCGAGAGCAATGCTAGATAAGCAATCAGTAAAGTTTCCAGGCAGTCGGTTCCTGACTGGAAATTTGATTTCAAGTTCTAATTAATTGCTTTCTTTCTCCTTAGTCCTCTAGGTGAGAAAAAGGATAAAGAAAAGGACAGGGGGATTGCATGATATGAGATACTTTTGCTCTCGTCCCTGATGATATGAGATATTCTTGCTTTGGTGTGACTTATTTGAAGAGGTATCCTCGAAAATGAAGAAAACTGAGTATTTCGAGATACTTTGTTGAAGATGCATTCTCAGAAAGAAAGAAGAGTTAAATATTTTTATAGGTCTGCCTTATTATGGAAGATAGAGGTCGACATATATAGGGATTTCCCAATAACAGGTAGTGGTGCTATGTCTTTACTCTTGTCAGCAACTGTGGTGTAATTAGAACAGTAAAATTCACTCGTTTTCAACTTTATCAGAGATCTTTGACAAAGTTGCAAGCAATATCCAAAAGCTGAGATTGTGTCTAAGAAATGTTGACGAACTTTAACCTGAAAATTTGGCTTTTGAAATTCAGAGAGCGGTGTCTCTTCGATTTTTGAACAGGTGACCCTGTTACCTCTTCTTTTATAGATATATCAATTTTGTTCAGATACACTCAGAAAATTGTTGCCGGCAGAAATTTCCCCTTTTTGCACTTTTGAGATTTTATCTGATCTCATTTTTCCTTCATCATTTCTGAAAAATGGCTTACCCATTTAACATTTGCATAGATTTGAGTTTTAGGAGTGGTACAGACGAGCCGCATCAAGATAATAAATGGCGCCCGTCCTTCTTATCTTCTAATGGTCTTCTTACGGTTGGTGACTCTGTGATGAAGAATGACCTAACCGCTATAATGGTAGCTAGGAATCTTCTCACTCCCAAGGATAACAAAATCTTTTCAAACCGGTCTGATGAGTCGGCAGTTCAAAACTCCTTGGCTCTCAATATTTAGTGTGTGGGCTCTGTTTCTAATATGGGTCAACGCCTACTTGCTCGAACTTACCAAGTTGAATCATTGATGGCTGAGGTGGCAAGTCTTAAACAAGAGATTAGAGAGCTAAAGCACGAGAATAAAATGTTACACATGCTTGCAAATAATTACTCGACGAGCAAGAAAAGAAAGTTCGACCAGCTACTGGAATCCAAAGGTTGGACTCAAAAGGACAATCGGGGGTTCGAGTCCTTATTCCAAAGACACTCATTGTCTCAGCTATCTGGAGTTTCACCAAGTACTGAGGCTCCAAATAATCAACCTTTGGTGCCTCCTCTTCTAGGGTACTTCCAAGTACTGAGGCTTCACATGAGCAACCTTTGTGAAGGTTTCCTCCTGTTTGTTTGTTTTAACTCATGTGTATGTAATTTATAGGAGATATAAATAGATAAACTTTATTTCATTCAATATATTATACCAAATACAATTAAGCATATACTTCACTAAGATGTGGTACTTCTGGACTACATATCAATTTATCTTTACCTTCACGAAGATAAATGATCATTTTTATTGTCTAAATAATTTGAGTATTCAACTCATAATCTTCAATCCATATGATTCTTTATAAACATCATGGATAAGATTCGTGTTGGCATATTGTTCAATTTTGCAATTCGAAACAATCTCTCTCTCAACACTGTATAAACTTTTTAGACTTTTCAAGAGTCTAAATCTAATATTATTGACTCTTGCAAGAGATTTTAGTATGTTACAATAATATCATAATGATAGTATTCACTAAGGCAATTTATTTATACCATCTATTGGTATTAAGGACATATTTTATGCTTTACCCTTCTAGGGTTTTCTTCAAGCAATTTGAATCCTTCAAGTATTTTCTACACTTCATGACATATTTTTCTTTGGAATTTATACAGAGCAACTTGCTTCCATGTATATTTGAGGGATTTACTTATGGAGATATGATGTGGGCGACTCATAACCTTTCGTATATAATTCTCCATTCATATGAACTTGTTTATAAGAGCACAATTTCAAGTTTTAATTAGTAACCTTGTGTAATATCATGTGAGTGTAATTCACTGTATTACAAATGCCCATATGTAACCTCTTTTGGTTCAACATTTTTTGGCTATTTGTATTATATACACATATAAATAGGCCTATTTTTCCACGTTCTTACGAGATTGTAATGGAATTGCCTTTCTCCATTTTTGGCAAATAATATTTCCTTTCGTCGACGAACAAAAGAACGTAACTCAATATCAATACAGCTCATTGATGAATTTAGTAGCTATTTGTAAAAACCAAAATTACCATTGATTGTTATCAATCATTGATTCCATATTCTCATGCGCATGCACATGCATAAAAGCTTTTCATTTCTTTGGATATCCATTGCCTCTTCAAGGGCATTACACTATTTCTTCCAGGATAGTCATAATTTAGAGAATACGGATCATAACCTCCTCTTGAGCGTTATAGAGTTGGGATTTTAATCTCCACTTTCGGGAGTTGAGTCATTGGAACCTATATGTCTATCATGCTTCATGCATGAGACATGAATATTCCCATATTCGTGGATTCTCCTTTTTGGGACATGTATCCATACGGCGACTGTCATGTTTCCAGCATGCAACATTTAGGCTTTAGGAATTTAATAGTTCAGTAGTGTCATATTCTTCTTCTTTCGAAGTACTGAACCTTTTGAATCTAAGGGTCTACCACGCTTCAAGTGTGTAACAGATTTGCTACCACATTATTTTGTTTAACAGGAACATCAATTCATGTAGGCACATTTGCAGCAAACATATGTGATTTTATCACTTTCGTTGCATTATTAAATGCATTTGGCATTTGATTTGCATATCGTTGCATCATTCACTTTGTTTTTCACATTGATTGCTTCATGAATCAAAATAAGACAAATTCTCTTCATTCTTCTGGAACGATGTTATTTTCTCCCCCTAACGGCGGGAAAACTATCTTATCAAAATCATAGTTTGCAAGCCGCGCGGTAAACATATCCCCAGTCAAGGGTTCCAAAAGTTGAATGATAGATGGTGAATCAAATTCAACATAAATTCCTAGTTTGACTTCAAGCCTCATTTTTAGTACATTGTGGCAGTGCAATAGGCATATAGATAACATAATCAAAAACTCGTACATGTGTAATGTTTAGCTGGTGCCCAAATACGAGTTGTACTGAAAAATATTGATGGTTGGTAACTGGTCTCAACCAAACTTAATAGTGAATTATGTATAATGGTATGTCCACATGTAGAAAACTTGCAATCTCGTTTTCATGAGCAGAGCGCAGGTAATCAATTTCATTCGCTTAATAAATGCTTCTGCTAAATAATTTTGAGTATGAACATGAGGAACATGATGTTCAACATCAATGTCCAATGACATGCAATAATCATCAAAACTTCGAGATGTAAACTCTCTAGCAAAATGTACCATACATCAATGAACTTCTGGTCCTTATTTAATAGCTTATGAATTAGAACTCTTATTTAAGTTGTGGCACTTCAAACTTAAGGTACTTATCAAGAAACTTCATGTCCAATCTTGAGGATCTAGGGACTTCATTCCTGATCTTTTTGCATGATGGAACTTCGGGTCTAATCATTTTATGTGATAAGGATCAAGAAACTTCATGTTCTTATCTGATCAAGAAACTTCAAGTTCAGTATGTACTCATCGTAACAAAAAGAAGTACAATAAATAAATTAAAGTAATAGGCGGTAATTCCAACCATGGTAAATAAATTGCTTTTAAGTAAATAATGCTTGTGACAAGGGCTTTGATTCAGCATCATTCACATAAATATCAAAGCTTTAAAGCAAAGGATAATAATTCTACCCACTGTAAATAAATTGCTTTAAATAAATAGAACTTGTGATAGAGCTTTAAACCAACACCATGCACATAAATATACCAAAACAGAAAATGTAATGATTAAGTCCTTATCTTTTGTTTTTTTCTTTTTCTTGGTCTGCCATTTTCTTTTATTTCATCCCTTTTACTTTTGTTATTATTTCACAGTTCGAAGTCATTTTAGTTATCCAGGAAATAATAGTAACACTAAGTTCCAATTGGTGTTCCTCCTCCGGTGAGTTTCGAAAAAATCGAAATGGTTCCCATAAGTTTTGGAGTCAAGGGTGTCTGCAACTTATAAGAAGATCAAATTGTTAGATTTAGCTCAAATTTTAGTATGATATGGATAAGAGGATACCAAAAAACTTTCGTGAAGAAATAAGTTCGATCTGAGCTACTGAAATGGAGTTTTGGTACTCATAAGGTGCCTGTCCAATTTTCTGCGGAAATTGGAAACTGGTTTGGTATTTCAGGCATCTGGGATGATCGCACCGTTGGAATTTTCTGAAAATTTGATATGTTGTAGGTACTGGGCGGACGAACAACTTTGAAGAAGAAAGTATTTCAATCCGAAGTCTACAAGTTGGAGTTCGGAGGCTGTTTACATGGTTGTCAGATTCTCTACGAATTTTGAGTCTGTACTATTTTGCTTCTGCAAAGGATGATATACAGTCATACAACAACATATATATATATATATATATATATATATATTTGCTTCAGGAAAATCAGTAGTACAAAGATTTTAGAATGAAATGAAAAGATTTTCTTATCTGTGAGATTCCAGGCAACATAGGTGAACAGGATTTGTGGCGTTGTTCTTTCCATTGACACGAGAGCTTCTCGTGCTGATAACGTATTATAAAATTGATGGTGTGTGCAGTGGAATAAATAAATAAGACACAAAATTTACGAGGTTCCTCTACAGTCAGTGTGACTGGAGTATGTCCTCGGGGCAGTAATGGTGCTTTCATTATAATCTGAAATAATAAGATTACAAATATAACTCTCTCTATTCTCTCTTCTCTTTTTCCTCTCTGCCATGAGCCTTCTGGCTTCTCACTTCCATTTTTTTTTTTTTTATCTTTTTATTCTCTTCGTATCTCCTTTGATTTATAGGCAAAGCAGGAGCACCAAAAGCAAGCAGCGGCAGCTCCTATTGGAAGGACATGTACAGTGGGATGAGTGGGATGTAGTGGGTTGGTCATCCACACATTGAATGACTCATAATATTATAACAAAAGGCAATTTTGATATTTTTTGACATAGAAATGTTAAAGCTATTTTTTGTCTATAAAAGCACATTTTAGTCTTTTTCTTGTAGACACGCAATCTTTTTTTTTTTTTCTTTTCGAAAACGCATATTTCAAACGAAAACCATTTCAAACAAATCCTAAATGTGGGGAAAGGATCCTCTCCGGACCCAATCCTTCAAGATCCTCCTTCTTTCTTCTTTGCAATTTTGCTTCTACTTCGTTTTCTTCAATTCTTCTTCTTTAGTAATCCTTCTTCTTCAATCCTACGTCTTCTTCTTCACTTGTTTTGTTTGTTTATCGAGAAACTTCTAGACGATCTGTTTTTGGAACCACGAGCTAGAGTCTGTTGTCGATGATTATTACAATATTGCAAATAACCAACTTTGGGAAGGCCACGACACCGACTATGGGGAAGCACAACGCCGACTCCAAAAAGGCACGACGCCGACTTGGCCTTTAAAGAAGAAGAATCCAGAGGAATTGGGTCCTAAGAGGATCCTATCCCCCAAATGTAAGCAAGATGTTTTTCCATTAAATACAATTTTAATGTGAAAAAGAATACTTTTTATGTGTAGTTGTTGGTAAAAACGATTATACCCTATTGACCAAAAATAACAAGACAATTATACACTCCAATTTTAAAATACAAGGAATAAAATGAGTGTAAAAGGATATTTTAAAGAAAGCTGTTGTTAGCACTTAAAACAAATCAGCGTGCATTTAAAGGGATATATGATTTTTTGGAGAAAAATTAGAAATTATTTGTACAACAACAGTAAAAGACATATAAACAAACGCTAATTTAGACTCTCTTATAGGTACAAGACTCTTTATTGTTCTACACACTAGGGGTTCGTTTTAGTATCGAAAAGGAGTTTAGGTTAAAAGGTTGAACTTGGAGCTTCTGCAGTCCATTCATACTCAAAATGGAAAATAGGTATTACTAGAAATTTGTACCCACGCGTTGCTGCGGGATTGAAAATTGTATGAAAAATTGTATTGCAAAGTTAAATTCCTTAGTTTAACTTGCTTGAAGTAAAAGACATCAAAAACTGAATCAAAAGGAAGGGAAATTCTTTTGTAAAACAACCCATAAAAGATACCATCTTTAGAATCAATTCAAGTATATTAGCAACGCGTTTGCACTCAATAGAGGAAACTAAATGAAAGCAAACCGCAACTCTTCTAGCTCTATTCTTTGGCCTAAAGAGAATTTGTGGGCAACAACCCCACAAAAAAAAACCCTTTCTTTATTTTGTAAAAAAAGAGCAGACTTTGAATCAATTGACATTTCAAATTCCAGTATATGATAACCAAAACAATAGGAAGCAACTTCATCAAATTAACACACCATGAATTCTGAAACAACATTAATCAGTAAGCTAAACTCACATGTCAAAATTAAAATTATAAGAATAATCATATCGTCAAACTTCAGAGCTGCACGTACGGTTGCACTTATTAAATGACAAACTAATGAACTACACTGTATAATAGGAAAGACAATTGAACTTGTGCAAATGCGAAAAAAAATTATAGAGAAATTAGAGAGTGACTTATTGAAAAATGGCAAAAAGAGTGGTTACAATAGATTATTAGCAACAAACCTATTGGAAAAAATTGCAAGTTACATAAAGAAGTAACATGTAACCTTACAAAATCTAGTAACAATTTCATTTGGTTGAAAGTATAAAGACATAGTAAAAGGAACTAACACGAAGTGAGTCTTCCTCTCTTCTCTCTTCGTCTCCCCGACTCTCCCCATGTTCACTCCTGCGTCAAAACAAACAAAATTCTTAACATAGAAATTAATCTCTTGAAAACCCAAAACTCTAATGTGGTTATTTATTCTACTATTATAATTTCCCTTCTCAGGAAATAAACAGAAGCAGAATCGGACAAAATTTTGTGGAAATTCATAGTAGTACCATGGAAAACAAAAATGGGACAAATTGGGCAATAATAATCCATCAGACAAATGTACACCACAAAATCAAGATTCAATAGGACACAAAAGCAATGTTTTAAAAGGCTCACCTCATGGTGCACTTAGGCGTCCTCTGAGGTTGGGCGTGAGGGTTACCATCTCTGTTTGATGGAGTGGGCGGAAGGCGTCGCCGGAGCCACCTAGTCACGCCTCAGGAACTTTTTTAAACCCAAATTTTGGGTAGGTTTTAACTGCCTTATACCTCTTCCTTGAACTATCGTCTCTCTACCTTTTTTTCTGATTTTTATTTTTTTATATAATGAATGTGTGTGTTGTCTGCGTACATTGTTATATGTGTGCTCACGCCTCCCTAGGCCGGGCTATCCCTCGGACGCCTTACCCACACCTCACGCTTTTAATACATTGCACAAAAGCAACCATACTTATTCATAATCAGTGCATTCATGTTAAATTATCAATTAACAATTTTATACCTTTTATGTCACGGGTCTGGGACCATAGAAATTTCTATCGCCTCTTTGTCCATCTATTTTATAATCTATGATTTCCTTTTCTTCTTAATCATCCTTTGAGCTTCTTACAAAAAAAACACATACATGCAAATGTTTTGAGGTAATAATAACAACCACTGAAGAAAGGAGGAGCACTTTTGTTGTAATTCACCTTTTGGGAAATCGGAGAAAGTGCTAGAAGAATTTGGTTATGATTCCGTCCTCAATAAAGTTGCAGTCTTTTAACTTCTTTTGGGACCCAATCATACCTGAAGAGACATTTAACTAATCAGATTGATGGATTTTCACATAATCTCAAAAAGGTTTCTTTTAACCACAATTTTAAGAAACAGATCAACCAATATATACGCAATCACAAAGCTTGATCACTTAAAAAATGTAACCACAGTAGAGCAACAAAAATCGGGAGTTCCATACAAATTTTAATAGCACGGTCAATGATAGCTAATTATAAATTATCGAACTCTGTAATACGATGGATATCTGGAAAACTAATAGCAAGACCAGTGCAACATCCAGCCACTCCAGCATTAATGACTGCATAGGAAGAAAGAGTGAACACGATATAGTGAATGAATAACGTAAAAGTAGTATTTCTGCATTCAAGTTCCCATACCATCATCCTTTCCTCGCAGCCTCTTCAACATGCAGACAACCAAAATGTGCACTCCGGACAAAACTGCAAATGTCCAGAAAGGGAAAAATATAAAAAGAAACCTTTACAACTGAATTCAAAGAAACATTCTGACATTGTAAATAGCATTTCACAAAAAAACTAAACTAATTACACTCAGATTGCAATGCTATCATTTAATAATACGAATTCCCATACCTTAGCAGAAGATCCTGCATTTGCAAAGGATCCTTTAAAACCTTTTTTCTTGAACAACTCCGCACCTGCAACACATCCAGGCAAGGTAAACCAACAGCACCCTCATGCTGAGCTCTCCTCTGCATACGTACCCCTTGTAAGTAATCTTAATCAGTCAGTTATCATGAATATACAACTTATATTAATTTTCTACAATATCCAACACACAGATATAACAGAAGAGGAAACTTTTACTTAAGCAGCACAAGACGATATCCTCTGCATTTCATTCCAAAATCCATCACTCTTACGCATTTGCCTGCACAGTTTTTGCTCCAACAAAGCCTGCCATGATGATAGCACTATCAATAATTAAGACATAAAGAAAGACTATCCTAGCTAGGCATTATCGTTGGATTAAACCAACATCACACAAGTAAAGTAGCAGACCAAGTTTTTTTTAGAATCGATGTCTTAACATGTTTGAGTAGCGAAAAGATTACAACACATTGGATGTGTTAACATATCCATAAGCTGATGACTCCCTCTCCGGTTTACCGCATCATTCTTTATATATTCAACAATGCTGCTGCAATTAAAAGTCCTTGGAAAATGCCAAGCTGATATAAAGACATGACGAAAATTATATCTCACCTTACCCCCTTGTTGGCATAGACAGCATATCAGTCCTTGTTGTTTGAGATGAATGATAATCCTGAACTCCATTATCATCATCGTCGAGAATGTCTTTGGCTTTTCTAGCAAGAACACCCCAAAACCCATGTTTGGATTCATTAACATTCTTCAATGATGTATACTCGTGGCTGAAAATCCAACAGAAAGCAGCAAAATTTAAGTAATGGGTAGAACAAAAACCGGAATCAGATACAACAAAACACACAATTCACAAATGAAACAGCACAAAACAAACCCCAAAAAAATTAAATGAAGAATTCTTTATAACATGCATGTTGATAATACCACGAAAAATTCCACTTCATTATACATGCCTATTGTTTTCTCTGTCTAAATATGAAATTGCCATCATCTTTTTCGAAAGAACAAACCAAAATCACTTCTCAAAGAGCTTATACACAGAAGAGAGTGGAAGCTTACCCAAAGCCAATTTCGTGTTGTTCACTCCTTCTTCTTCTTCTTCTTTTGGACCCAACAATCTGTAGGTTTGATTGCAGCATAATGATTTAGTTTAAAATTTCAAAATTGATTATATATATGTAGATAATCTTAAACACTTCAATTAAACCTGAAATTGAAAAGAACACTTCAATCTGACTAAAACTACACAAAGGAAAAAACAAAGAAAAATGTTCAAACCAATCTATAAGCCAAAATGATCCCCCAACATCAGTAAATTAACAATAAAAATCTAAACCCATATAAATTCACAGGAAAATCAAAACGCGCGAAAAAAATAATTGGATCACAACTGGTCAGGTACAAAAGGATAAATTACAAATGCAAAAGAAAAAAAAAATTCACAAACAAACTAAAACTTCAAATCGGTGAAGACCGTACCTTGAAAAGGGTATACGCACAAAGCTCTTCGAGACTGATCCCAATTCCGACGTCGGAGACTAAAATAGAGTCCGATTATAAAGGTTTTGCAGCACCGATCGTACAGATCACCCAGTAAATTATAAATGAATATATAAATACACAAATCAAGCAAAACCCAATAGGCTAATCGGATTAAAAAGCTACAAAATGCTGGGAATTTTACAAACCAGGACAAAATTGAAGCCCAGATCCTTGAAGTTCTCGAGGACTTTGGACTTCGTCGGGCTGGAGAGGGTAGTTTCTCGGACCAGAAAGTAGGTGCGGTGGCTGGCCTTGGCGCTGGCCTAGACGATGAACTTTTCGGTGCTGCCGATGAAGAAGATTTTGGATTTGGATGCCATCAGGAATGGGATTGGGGGAAATCAGAATGGGATGAGTTGGAGAGAGAAAGCGAGTGATTCGATTCGAAGTGGTGCATGAAGGAAGAGGTGGAAGGTCGGTGAGGAGGAGCTTGAGCTCCGGCAGCAGTCGGAGGTTGAGAGCAATGGAAACTTACGTGGCAGCAATCTCAGAGGAGATCGAAATGAAAGCAAGCCCGGAGAGTTCGAGAGACATACACCAGATTGACTGTTTTACGGTGAACAGGGAGACGGAAGTTGAACAGGGAGCATAGAGCAGAAATTGCTAGGGAGGGCATGAATGTTCATTCTGTGAAATGGCCTGCGTCTGAATAAAATCATGCGTAATTCAACAATTTGTGACACTGTAACAAAATTGGGTCATCGACAAAATCACGATTCGAATACCAAGATATTGAAAACAAAGCAAATATAAAAGTTGGGGTTACCTCTGAAGAAAGCAATCTAACTTTGCTGCTGCTGGTGTCTACCAAGTACCAACACAAAGAAAAGAAAATTTGCTTTGAGAATTCTTTGAAGGTGCGGTGAGGCTGCTAAGAAACATCGGCTTTGCTCCGACGATGAAAGCAAAGACGGAGGAAAGGTAGAAACTTGGGTGGACATGTATGCAATGTGCACAAAATGAAAATAAAATGTTGGGGTTAACATTGATCAATTTAAGATTAAATTGGTTAAAACAGTTAAAACGTAAGATATCGCTTGACAATAGATCAGGTGATCAAATTTATGCAATGAAATATTACAACTGAGGACAATGGATTGAACAAAAGCGAAAGAGAACTGGGAAAAAAAGAAAAAAATAGAAAAAAAAAAAAGAGAGGCATTAACAAAAGTAATAGAAAATTAACAACGTAAAATATTTGATACATTGAAAACAAAATGGCTGAACGGATTATTTACCTTCAACAAACACGGATCGTTCTTGAAAGTGAAGAAGAACGAAACCAAACAGCGATATGAAGCTTCTAATTACAGAGACAAAATCTGTAGGATGATAAAAAGAGAATTTAAACGTAAAATATATGTGTAAATGAAAAATCTAAAAAACAAAAACAATAAAAACAAAATGAGAAAGATCAAGAAAAGAGGCCTTACCATAGTTTGGACGAACATTACTTCAAAACGACTGCAGGTGGGAAACTATACTCAACATCATGCTGAGAAGATGTAGAAATGGCATGACAAAACATTGACAGCATCAAAAATAGAGAGCTCACAAAAGGGTTATAAAGAAAATGTTTAATTTGTACAATGCAGATACAAAAGGTTAAAAGTTGTTTATTTACATACAAAAAAAAATATTACAGACATGTGTTCGATTTTAGCACTTGGAACCACCTTTCAAGCACAACCAGCATTCGGATACAAAAAATTGGCAAGTGCTGGTCTATGTAGAGGCAAAAAATATTAGGAAGTTCAGATTAGAGAGATATTTACATCGCAACCAAATAAGATAAATATTGTTTGATACAGATTAACAAAAAACCATCAGAATTTTTGGGCATTGCAGTCAACTTCTGCTATTGCACTGTCCATTTTTGAAAAACCAACCTAGAGAAACGAAAGAAATTAGAAGGGTAAGATCGTTATTAAATATACGCTGGAATAAATCTTGTCTAAAAGAAGAAAAAAAAAGGGTAACATTAAAATATAGTGACCTAGCTTCTTTTTGGAGGAGCGGAGTTTAACTTTTCACCAGTCAGGGATGACTCCTTAAGCAATTTGATTGGCACTTCATCCAATTCTATTGGATCTGTGTCTGAAATTTCCTTGGCTCCACTATTTTAAACGGGTTCGCCATGTTAAATAGTATAAATATATGGAAATTTGAAATTTATAGTTGCAAAAGCTATTACGGCACGAACCTTTGTTCGCCGGCGGTAAAAAGAGCTCTCCTAATTGATTCCCTCTTTTGTTTATATGATTGCTCAGTGGTTTCAGCTTTTGAAGTAGAAGATGAAACAGTGGTGGACACTGTGATTTCTCTTGACAAAGGTTGCGGAATTACTCGCTGCATAGTCGTATCCTCAGTCACATTGTGAATGAGCACATCGTTTGTATTAAAAGTATTCCTCCTATTGCCAAATCGTAAGTGAAAAATCTTCTTTTGTCCAATAAGCCTGAGAAACTCGTTTGGTAATAGCTGCTGGTCCACCAATCTCTAATTCATTACCAGGTCTTTGCAAGGCATGCCAAAAACTTTCTCGCCGCATTTACCGATTATCAAAGCATTCATTTCATCTTCGAGAATGAGATTAACTTTGTACCTACATTTAGAAACTCAACCTTATGAGATTTTTTGAGAATCACAAATTGCCACAAACTAAATACCTAAATAAGTAGAACTAAAACAGATCACACACAGTGTAACATCCCACATTACCCAGGGAAATGAATCATCTAAGCCTTATATGTATATTCTCATCTTTACTTAGCACAAGGCCTTTTGGGAGCTCCCTGACTTCAGGTTCCATCAAACTCCGAAGTTAAGCGAGTTTGGACGAAAGTATTCTCAAAATGGGTGACCTACTGAAAGTTCTCGTGTGAGTTCCCAAAAACAAAAATCGTGAGGGCGCTATCAGAGCCCAAAGCAAACAATATCGTGCTACAGTGGAGTCGAGCCCAAGATATGGTGTGAGTTCCCAGAAACAAAAATCTTGAGAACGTGGTCGGGGCCCAAAGCGGACAATATCTTGCTACAGTGGAGTCGAGCCCGGAATGTGGTGGGGACCCAGACCAGGATGTGACACACAAGCAATAACTTTATTGAATTATACAATGATCATATGTAACCAAATATAACAAAAAAGAAAAAGGAAAACGAAAGAAAGGGGAAAAAGAAAGTTTTGCCACAGCAGGAAAAAAAAATTATAAGATTTAGGTTTATATGATGTAAATGAGACAAAAATACAAAGCAAAGAGAAAACAATGGTAACAAAAATAATTTTTCAAAGAACATCATGTTTAGGAACCATTCTGGATATCCATTGCAAAAACACTTCACAATCCAAAATTTAAAATTTTTTAAAGTGTGACTGCATAAAGAATGAAACTAAATTTGTATAATCCGTACTGAATGTCATTAGCCTTCTCTGTATCTATTTGTTCCAATTGGCTAACAACAACAAATCACAGGACACCCAGAAAGAGCCAACTTTTTTATTCGGTTTGCTTTAAACATTCGATTTAACATTACCAAGGCGTTGGAATCTGGTTGGGATGTTTTTGGCAAATGAGCTGGCCACTGGTTAGATCCTTGTGCATCTGTTTTACACAATACGGGCAAGCACTATACCACCAATCGAAGCACTTGTCAAAACGCTTAACAGATGCTTTGCACATAAATGTGTCATCTTGTAACACATTTTGTCACTTATTTGTAATAGCCAAAATGACAACACAATTAGTTATGTTGAAAATGTTAAAATTGAATCGTCAAGTTTAATACCTTGTGCAAGTCCGGATCCAAAAACGCTAATTCATCAATCGTAACCATTTTAGCAGTCTGCAAAATTTCAGCTTCGTTTGCTTGTTTCGAAGAGGGAGGGAGCATTTTCAAACGTTCTGTATAATCAAAAAACTTGCAAGCATCAAAACATTTTATGAGTTTAACAATTTAAAAAAAAAAAAAAACACAAACCATACTCCACCAAAAAGAATTAACAGAGTCTTATTTTGTTTTGACAATGAGAAATACACTCACACTGACTTATATGCATAGACTTTGGGGATGTCTGGATCAATAAAAAAAAGAGACGAACCAGTACTGTTTAAAGCGATCTTATTTGCACGTTGGAATCACAACACAGAAAACAAAAAGAAAATATTAATAAAGGTGGCTCATCACATTTTGTGACAAAAACTACATAATAGAGATAATCTACAATATGTAGATACCCAACTGTTTAAAAAGTTTTCATAAAATCGTGGGACAATCAGCTGTATGATGTGGTGCATTTCAAACCAACTAAGTCATTCATAACACAATATTTATCATTTTCTAACTGTTAATAAAAAACCGATGCTCAAATCTACTTAACAGACATGGTTGAATAAAAAAGAAAACAAAGTAAGAAAGAGATCAGTAGCAATCAGTAACGACTGATATATTAAGATGTTTCTAAACTAATTGACGACAAAGAAGAAAAACATATAATGACAAATCGGAGCAAAGACAGATAATAAAAGTGCAAAACGATATAACATCTAGAGAATTTAAATGAAACAACATTTGCAGACACTAAAATAAATAAGCCAAAAATAAGTTTTTAAGAAAACAGAATACTCAAGTAAAGCTTCACTTTCAGACTTGTGAAAACAACAACGGGCAAAGAAAACGCGTCCATTGACAAAGAAGAAAAGGCTTCTCCAATGTCCCCCCACAACGTTACCATCACTTCCTCTTTCCTGTTGACAAAGGGAACAACGAATAAACTTATCACTTTTTTTTAATGCAACAAATTAACAAATATTGAAAACAAATGTGACGAACATCCATATGAAACAAAATATAACCTTATATTCTTGATACGGACATCACACTTGTATGCAATCCTCTGATTAATCTGTATGGATTCAAGAGGCTGTACATCGCTTATACGTCCAACGACATCTTATTATTTAAAACATAAACAAAGTTAAAGAGCAATTTGGAAAACAAATGCAAACACACTTGAACCCATGCACATCCACTTATAGATTAACAGTACCTGTGAGAATGTCAACACTGTTCAAGTGAGGGTACAATGTGTTATATTCTTGTAGAAAAAATCGATGGCGAGGGATAGGCGGGAAGACACTTGCTAATTTTCGAAACATTGTTTTCGAGGTGAACAAAATTAGGGTTTCATGTGGTACTACCTTGTATTGTGCCCTAATTTTAACAGTTCGAAAATCCATGATTTCATAACATCCACCGGCTTCAATTTTGGAGGCCATAACATCGTGATCACCATCTGATGTACAGCCCTCCACCACATGTTGCTTCACATTTCATTAATCAAATTGTTACCATAAAATAAACATAACAAATCAAAACAGTTAAATAATCTGAGGCAAGATGTAAAAAACCATAAGACAACTAATTTTAACCATGTGACATGTAAAAAACCATCCCGACATGAACATTATTTACTCAATTAATTGTCATTGCCTCTACTTTTGATTAAACTAATCAAACAATGATTCCTCACCGCTTCATCGATGAACACACAGTGCAGTGTACTTCTAAACAGTTCCTGGGATCATGGATTTCCAAAATTCTGCATATCCGAACTTTGATTTTATCTGCCTTTGTGTATGGTCTTAACTGTTTAACAGGAGTTAGGCGAATGTTATCCATTTATCCTATGAAGAGGAAATTGCAGCGACACATTAGAAATTCCCACAAACCCACATAAAGAAAAAACAATAAAAATTATAAATGATGTGCAATCCACTCATCCATGTTGTGAAACAAAGAGACAGAGTTGATCACGTAACCAAAACGGCAATCATGAGGCCAAAAAAAAGGGAAAATTTTCAAACATAAGATGTAAAAAAAAAAAAAGGAAAACATTCAAATGGTAGAGATCCTCGACATCTGTATCAAAAGGTTATATTTATTAACCAAATTATTAATACAATTCTTGCATCTTAATATGTATCTAAATATCTCCACCTTCATTTAGCGAAAGTGATGTTGGCGGAGGTGTTGTAGAGGGGACGAAGAACAAAGAAAAATCAAAACAGAAAAATAGCCAACTAATTCATGAACCAATACCAACTCCCTCATGCGAAAAAACCCAAAGTCTCAAAAACTACAGACCCATAACAATTTCATCAAGTGACTAACCTCAAACGCTCACCTACGACACTTCTTACACCCTATGTCTCTTTCCCCAACCTCTGCTTCCCCAAATGACGCACCTTGACCTCTCTCGCCACAGGCGTCGACTCCTCTCACAATTTAAAACCCTAAAATCCATTCAAACCCATTACCTAAGCAAAGAACATCACAAAAATTAAACGATGAACTGCAAAAAAAAACCCAATGAAGTCCACATCTCTTTAAACGCAACAGAAGAAAACCCTTTCACAATTTAAAACCCTAAAATCCATTCGAACCCATCACCCAAACAAAGAACACCACAAAAAATTAAACGATGTACTGAAAAAAACCAACGAAGTCTAGATCTCTTTAAACGCAACAGAAGAAAACCCGCTCTGCAAACCAACATAAAAATCTGCAAAGGAAAACAAAAATCTAAAAAAAATCACGCACCACAGAGTTATGAGACGAAGGAAACACCTGCGACGTTCTGAAAACCACAGCTGAGAAGAACAAAACACAAAAGCGCGCCAAAGAGAAGCACACAACGGGAACCAAAAGAAAAAAGAAGCTGAGAGTGATAGAAAACTACCAATGCAAGTGAGAAACGGAAACAAAAAGCAAGCAAAATAAACCCCAAAAGAGAATAGCAGGATGACCGACACATGTCACATACAATTCCCAGCTTGTCCCTGCCCGAACCGCCAAAAACAATCAGAAGGCATGAAAAAGCCGAAGGGCAATTCAGCCACTGGAAAACCACCCACCTAGCGCGGGCAAAGTAGGAATTTTACTATAGAAAAGGAAGAAACCAGCGTCAAAACCCAAACAAACCAGGGGTAGATCCGTCCGTACATTATTTTCTGAACAGTGCCATGCTTAACTGACTTTTAGTATATATAATATAATATAATTTGTGACATACTCAAAATGGAAATTAGGAACTATTCGTGACTGAGATTCATGGACTCTATAGCAACTAGCAACTAACTCAGATAAGGTTCTTTCTGCCATGGCTCCTGCCAACACAAATAAAACACTTTTTTATTTTTTTTATTTTTTTTC